CGTTTGAATCTGCATCATCATCTGAGGATTCGTCCTTCTTATGTTCTTCTCCCCCATCACTTACTTTGGTCTTCTTCTCTTTCTTTCTCAGTTTTTTCTTCTGGCGTTTCATTCGCTTCTTTGCTGTGCGCTCCTCCGCAGCTTTTAATCTTTCTTCCCTCCTCATATTAAATTCTGCTATTTCTTTTCTTTTTTGGTAGTCCACATCCATCCTCGCAAGTCGATCTTGCTCTTTGCGTCTCATTTGCCGATACTGTCTCCCAGAAAATGCATGGAAGAGTTAAGATCTTCATCACAATTAACAGATGGTAATTGAGTTAAACAAATACCATACCATCAAATGTTAGGCAACTTTCTGGACTAGACAGATAAACATTGAAAAGACAAAACACACGCAACACTACTGCCCATGAAAAGGGAAAAGACTCGCAAGTGCCCATCTTACCCAAAAAATAAATCTGGTAAAATACAGTAACTACCTATGGCCACCTTATGCCTTCAGTAGGTGCTTATGTCAAGCAAAGTTCCCCTTCACCCACAAAGGAGGCTAAACACAGGTCTCTTGTTATCAAGTTCGGTTGGTCCAACTAACTGCTTGTTCCCCAGATAAAAATCGCAAAACCCAGCACCCAGCTCCAGCCCAAGCCACCCGTTGCCCCAAAGCGATAAAATGATGATCAGTTCTTGAACTGGAACACACTAGAAGTTCACTAGTTTAACAATTACTGAAACCAATAAAAGATAAGGATTCAGATCATAGAAAAATGAACTAAACTAATGCCATTTGTTTCTCACTTGTCAGTACTTTATACTCGAACCGAAAAAGTCAATAGTTTTCCGGTCACTAATAGCTCTGGCTTCTCAATAGTCTTCCTTGAATTCCTCAAAATCTTGAAATGGGTAATTCCATGCATTCAGGTTTTCTGGTAGACGCTCAACAGGGCTCGGATTGTTTAGATTGAGAGGTGCTTGGAATTGAGGTTCAGTAGAGTTTAAAACTTGGTGAATATACAAAGAGAAAAGGCTAATATTCCATATTTTAGATGTCAACATGTACATCGGGTGCACCAACAGCCTATGTAGTCTCTTTTTCTTTTTTTTTTTTAATTTTTGTCTCATTCTTGTGCCCAGCAGCTGGAAACCAAATCACCAGTACTGAAGCTATAGATTCTCAACGTCTGAAGGCTTTCATTGCAGTGGCAAAAGAAATTCCTTTACTTACAGGTGATTAAGCCAATCAAACAATTTCTTCACTACGCCACTATATTGAGTACTGACCCAGTAAACACAATTAGCACAACAATAATCAGTAAATGTAATACCCACTGTAAATATTCATTCAAACAAGGGACTCCAGCATCAGTTCAGTGAAAAGGCACCATAGAGGAAATCATAATCTGTTAGCATCGACTCAGCTGTTCTCAATCATGTAATAAAAGCTGTTGTCAGCCATTAAGACACAGTTAGTTTGTCAGCTGATGTGAGCTAATCATGAAATAATTTGCTGGATTCTACGAAATTTAGGACTTCTGTCGAAGTGCCCCTCAAAATCTTCTGATATCTTCTCAATTCACAGATTATTAAAAGCTACATTTTTTCGAAAACATATCATCGTCAATTTTACATCAGCATTGCGGAACCATTCTTAGTTACTATACTTTGGCTGGACTTAGTACAATCTGCAAACATCTAATTACACAGCCGAGCCAAACTCCAATGACAAAGAACCTAAGTTGGATTAGTGATAGGGTCAGGTTAGGACTGTATAACGGAAAATTGATAGAATCTAGGGTTTAGGACTTCAGGCAGAAGAAAGAACTAATAATTACCTGGTGGAAGTCACCGGAGCCAGAACCGGCAGAGCTACCGGAGGTGTTACTAACACGAACGGGGACGCAGTCGATGATACGGCGGAGCTTGACCTCGAGATCCTCCTCCTCGGGGTTAGGAGCTGGCGGAGTGTACTCTACCAGTGCATTGGATGACGAAGAAAGTGACGACGAAGAAAGTGACGACGAAGACGGAGGACGAGGCGGCTTCTCGGACGTCGCTACCACTTGCAAGTCGCCAGCGGCAACTGGCACCATCGCCCTACTTCCTCTTCCTCCTCCTGACGACATTACGTCTCCAATCTCTTGTTCTCTGCAAAAGCTCAAAGCCCAGCAAAATTGGGGGGTTTCCGGTTCGGTCTGATTTCGATTGATCAATCTATTCCTCGGCCCACGCTTCCGGTTTCTTAAATTTTGGAACCGGAACCGGTCGAACCCTTAAAAAGTATAGTTTTAATTAGAGGTACAAACGAATCGAATCGAATCGAATCTCAATTTATATAGTTTTATAAAACTCGAATTCAAACTTGATCTCGACGAGTTCAAAATGTAAAGATCAAGCTTGACTTTAAAAACATAAAAAAAAAATTATTTATTTTTTAAAAATAAATATAATAATAATTGTTTAACAAATAATAAAATGTTAAGGATATATATATATATATAAACAAGCGACTCGCGAGCTAATAAGTTGAGTATCTTTGAATTCAAATTCGAATTCGATTTGATCTGCTCAAATTCGACTCGAGTTCGATGTTGATCATTCCTGATTGATTGAAAAAGTAAATTAAGGGGGTCAGTCTCTAAATTTTGATATTTATCTATTTTTTGTTTTAATCAAATTTTTTCTGAGGATTTCTTGTATTTTGATCTGCCTCTATTCATTTCATTTTTATGTTTTTGTTTTGAATGCATTAGAAAATTTTTTGAATGTATTTTCTACTTTTTGATTTTCTTTTTATATTAGACTAAATAATATAGATTTCTATAACTATATTTATTTATATATATAGAGTGGAGAATGGCGATTAAAATGAACTATTCATGAATGACAAATCGCAAAATTCTCTACACCTAAAAAAAGCAGAAAGATCCAATGAAATCATTACATTATATTGACAATTTCAAAAAACTGTTCATTCTATGATCATAGTATGATGGCGGTTGGATAAGTAGACCCCCATCATCTAGTGGTTCAGGACATCTCTCTTTCAATGAGGCAGCGGGGATTCGACTTCCCCTGAAGGTAGAGTACTGAAAGAAATTTAATTATGGATTATCAATAAATCTAAAAGTGATTCTTCATAGGTCGATGCTCGAGCGGTTAATGCGGACAGACTGTAAATTCGTTGGCAATATGTCTACGCTGATTCAAATCCATCTCGACCCAATAATTCGCCCAATTCACCAATTCAATTTATCACGAGAGGGTATAACCCCCTATCTTTCATAAAGATTCGATGTGGAGATAAAAAGAATAAAAATCTCTGCAAGATCCCTTTCACTGGCATTGTAATTCAATTGGTTAGAGCACCGCCCTGTCAAGACGGAAGCTACAAGTTCGAGCCCGGCCAGTCCCGACGGATCCAATAAATACAGCAATAAATCCATCTCCTCCTTTCTATAAACTATGAAAGGGGGCGAGGCATTAGTTCATTCCCAAATCAAAAGGGGGTTAAGTTCTATTTCTTTACTTTTGGTAGGATAAAAACATATGTGGGTGGATTATTACAATTAGTAGTAACATTACAATAAGTATTCCAAGAAATACTGAGTCTGCTTTTTTTATTATTCCCGATCCGTGGATAGAATACTATATTTTTTTTGGGGGGAAGGCACGCATACACAAAATGAAATTCACAATCAAAAATGAATTTAACTTCAACAAAATTCTTCTGATAGGATACTCTTCTAAATTAAATAATTTAATTACTCTTTCTGAGCTCGAACTCGAGCTGCTTACAAGCAACTCAATTCGTTTGCAATCCTACTTTTAACATATTATTAGCCGTGCTTCTAATCTAAATTCCTTGCCTCTATTTTCCCTAGTTCTAAATTTTTTTCTTATTTTTATAAATTGATTTTAGAGCAGCAATTGTATCCTTGCCTCAATTATGTTTCTTTACTTTTAGTCGGATAAAAGCGTATGTGAATGGATTATTACAATTAGTAGTAACACTATAATAAGTATTCCAAGAAATACTGAGTCTACTTTTTTCATTGCTCCCGATCCGTGGATAGAGTATTTTTTTTTTTTGGGAGAGGGCACGCATACACAAAATGAAATTCACAATCAAAAATGAATTTAACTTTAACAAAATTCTTCTAATAGAATACTCTTCTAGATTAAATAATTCAATTTCTCTTTTTGAGCTCGAACTCGAGCTGCTTGCGAGCGAGTCAATTCATTTGCAACCCTAATTTTAACATATTATCAGCCGTGCTTCTAATCTAAATTCCTTGCCTTTATTTTTTTCTGGTTCTAAATTTACTTTCTTATTTTTATAAATTGATTTTAGAACAGCAATTATATCCAAAACCAACCTTTTTTTGCGACATAATCGGATGAAATCTTAATCAAAACCTAAGATTTGAGAAAGTTATGTTTTAAAATTCAAATCGAGGAATGATTCGATAAAACTCAAAAGTCAAAGGCCAATGAGTTCAACTGGATTGGATCCATGTTAAAAATCAGGTGACATCATAAATATATATATTAATTTTTTATATAGAAAAATGACCATAAATGTACTAGTTATTTCACTTTGCCCAACAAATTAAGAAAAGATAACCAAATTCCAAAGTTAACAAATGACAAATCATTGTTAAATACTTAAAAAAGAATCTCATGTAAAACACAAAAATTAACTAAATTCCAAAGTTAACAAATGACAAATCATGGTTAAATACTTAAAAAAGAATCTCATGTAAAACACAAAAATTAATCCTCAAATTAATTGTTAATTTTTCTAAAGTTCGAAATGACCTTTATAAGTCTAAATCTTTTTTAGAGGATAAGTCTTGAACAAAATTAAGTCTAATATTTATAAGTTTGCGTTTTACAATTAAACTGAAAATGAAATATAATTTCCATTTTTTTTAAAAAAAAACCCAGAAAACCCAAAAAAAAAAGAAAAGCATATTGGTAGTTGATTCAGAAGCCACCCTAGGTACTCCATAGAGTTTGTTTCCCTGCATATTAAAAACTTCATATCCAATATGACAGTCGACACAATTCGTGCAATAGTTCTCTTATTCAGGATAACTTTGATGCAACTGAGTAAACTCTCCTATATCAGACTCATTTGGCATGGTGACAATTTGCTGCATTTTGAACCACAGAATAATTACTACATTTCTCATAGTATAGCTCGTGTTGCTACTATTCTGAGGAACTAGAAATGTAAAACTTATGCATGAGAACTATTGAAGAGCTCTTAAGAAGATAAGACTGCAGTCTTGAGCAGCAACAGTCATCAGCAGTCCAACCCTTGGGGATACAGCTCTGAATGAAGCATCAATCAGAAACAGCTTTGAATGAAGTAACTTTCCTGTAAAACGTTTGATTTACTATATGTGAAGGCTCTTACGTCCAAACATGCATGCAGTATATGGTAGTACTTTCTAAACACCGGCAAAATGCTTTCATGCTGACACAAGTAAGACCTAAAGATGTGCATATACCACGAAAGCAAGGATTGTAGGATGCTTACCAAACTCCCAACTGAGTGTGAACGAACAGTTTCTTTAATGGCATCAGCTTGAATATGATTTGAGCACCTGCAATTGAATAATTAGGAGTAAACTAAATTAACAAGCTTTGCATGGTTATGTCCAGTTCACCTGAGAGCTAAAAAAAATTGAAAAAAAAAATCAATTTAAAAACAAAAGCCAAATCCCATTTATGCTTTTCGTCTGAGCTGCTCTAGGACTCCTTCAAGTAAAACTTCAGCTCTATTTCCATGGAAAGGTTTATCAGGATGCAGAAGAAGATGATACTGATAGTTTACAGCCATTAAGAAACCAGAAAGAACAGTATTAATGAGATGGTAAACTTAACGGGGAGAAATCAACAAGGCCAGGAAGAGCGTAAACAAAATTAACCCCCACCATAACATTAGGCATAACTGGAAGTGAGCATGACTATTCACCTCAATCAACAATCCAATAGTAATTCATTTCAAAAGCAATAACAACAGCCAAAAATGAACAAAACAGCTAAGTCCAAGAACAGCGAATCTGAAAGCAAAATGGGCCTGCTACCTGCTACTCAAGTTAGGAACCAAGGGATATTACTCTCAGATCACAATAGGAACAGCCACTGTTATGTCATCATGGTGAAGGAAGCGCAACTGTATTGCTAGCGGACTCAAAACAACTGCAACCTGGAGCTTTTAATAAGCTTCTTTGTTCCATGGATTTCCAGCTCATCCTTGAACTGTCCCATAAGCCTGCAGCAGCATACATTCCTGCAATAACCACATAGTTGGCCGAGTTCTCGGGTTCAACTTTCACTAAATGTTTGGCAGCTACTTCACCAAGATAAGTATTTCCATGAATGTAACATCCACCAAGAATCGTACTCCATAGAGTCGCATTCTGCTCAATATTCATGTTTTGCATCAGAGTATAGGCTTCCTCCAAATATCCTCTGCGTGCAAAGAGGTCTACAAGACAAGAATAGTGCGCAGCTGTTGGAGAAATATTATAGTTGCTCACCATTTTGTTGAAACACGTCCATCCTTCACCGGTCAAACCAGAATGGCTACACGCTGAAAGAAGAGACAGTAATGTCACATAATTGGGCTTCAATCCTTCATCTTCCAACTTCTTGTAAAGTGAAACAGCCTCATTTCCATAGCCATTCCTTCCAAAGCCAGTAATGAGAGTTGTCCAAGTAATAATATTTTTCTCCTCCATTTCATCAAAAATATGCTTTGCATCTCCTATCTCTCCTGATTTAGAGTACATGTCAATCAAAGCATTACCCATGGCCACATCCTTATGAGTTGGATACTTTAATGCAAGACAATGTATTTGTTTCCCCACGAGCAAAGAAGCTGTATTTGCACATGTACTGAGCAAAGAACAGAGCACGATATTATCAACTGCTACATGCATCAGACGTACTTCATTGAAGAGTTGCACAGCCTCATTGATATTTTTACCATTGTGGGCATATCCTGTGATCAATGCGGTGCATGATATAATGTCCTTATTCTGCATATTTTTGTACAGATGTCTTGCATTGTCGACACTACCACATTTTACATAGGCATCAATCAAAGAACCAGTCAAACTACTATGTGATGCAAAACCTAGTTTAACGATGAAACCATGTACTAGACCAACTTTTCCAAGTCCAACACTGCCAACACAGGCTCTCAAAACATTTCCAAAGGTGAAGTAATCCGGCAGCAAACCTATTGCTGTTTAGTGTAAGTATGATAGAAAGAAATAATTCAACCAAAAAAAAAATAAAAAGGAGAGGACCAAAACTTGAATATTAGCACAAAGTTCATCTCTTTGGGCATACCTTCCCTTAGCATTAGATGAAACATATAGAATGCATTGTCATGGAATCCTTGAATAACAAAACCACCAATAATCGCATTCCAAGATACCAAATCCCTCTCCATCATCGAACTGAAAACCGAAAAAGCATCCTCCATTCTCCCACATTTTGAATACAAGTCAACCAGTGCACTTTGAACAAACAAATTCTCCACAAACCTACTCTTCTGGGCACACGCTTGAATCTGCTTTCCTCTGTCCAAACACACTAGACCGGTGCAAGCCCGTAGGGCACTCCCATAAGTGTACTGATTGGATCTAACACCATCCTTGTGCATTTCAGAGAACACCTTGAGAGCTTCTTCTAATTCTCCATTTTGAGAGAAACCCGAGATCAAGGCAGTCCAAGAAACCACACTCCTTTCAAGCATGTTATCAGATACCTTACGAGCATTTATCATGTCACCTAATTTCGAATAAAATATGATCAACTTTGTATTTAAATGGACGTTGGAACGAAAGCCATTTATTATTAGGTGTCCATGAGTTGAATGACCTTGTCTTTCGGCATTCGTGCCAATGCACAGTTGCAGAAGTTTTAAGTAAAAAGAATAATCTGGAGGCCCTGGTCCAGAAGAAAAGAATGCCAAAGCTTCTCGTAACTTTCCTGCGTCGCATGGTGACGTCGCAGTTGAACGTAGAGATGCATATTGAGGCATCAACCTTGATTGGTAGATTGGGAATGTGTTGGCATGACCAGTTAGGAACCGCAAAAGAAATCTTGTTCCTTCCTTCAGATTGGTACCAATGATCAAAAACTGGAAAGAGTTCATGAAATGGCATCATTCTAGCCTTCTAGGAACTTGGGATTGTACCATCACACAGAACTTGATAGCTGTTAATTACAAACAAATGCAGGTCAGACCCATTTCCAGAAATAATCCACGGAACAAAAAACTAATCAGATTTGAATAAAACATGAGCAGCCTCATTTGCCCAACAACATTTCAAAAAATTTGCAGACATCTTCAACCAAAAAGATCTGTGCCCAGGGAACTCTTTATAGGTCTATTCTTACAGAAAAACAATACTCTCTTTAGCACGGACTTAATAAAGACAGAAAAAAGAAAAATACATGAGTTATATTGAGATTGCAGCAATGACCCTCGACAAAACAGCAAACCTTGAACAATTCAATTTAGCAGAATGGGACAGCCAACAGATGGATAAGAACCATTTTCATATTTTCTTAGAAAATTAATTAACGAACCATGATTTATGCAATACACTAATTAAAAAAAAAAAAGAAACTAGCAAAAAAAAAATTAAAAGCTTCCATCTTTTTTAAATCCAACCCAACAAGATAACGAAGCAAAAACCATGAAACCCCCTAGGAAACAACCCTGATTTGTGCAATACACTAACTAAAAAAAAAACTAACCAAAAAAGAACCCCCAAAAAAAGAAAGCGTCTATCTTTTTCAATCCAACAAGATAACAAAGCACAAACCATGAATCCCACTTAGAAACGGAATGACATACTAACAAAAAAATGTAGCAAAAATGATATCAGTAGAGTCTAACTAAATACACGAAGAATTTTTGGGTACCTTTCAACAGCAGATTGCAGATTGCAAACTGCAGCAAGATAGTAGTATTCTAGTGAAGTGAAATTTACTGGAGTTTTTTTTTTTTTTGGCTTGTGTTCTGTAACTGAAATTGCATCAATGGCTGGCTTCTACAAAACAAAACTTCCTCTGACACGGGCAGATATGGGGACTCTAAAATTTGTGATCCACGACCGGACCCTTTTTCGATATGGTATTGGGCTCTCAATTCACGGGCTTCGCCCGATTTACAAATTTGAGTTGTGCATGCAATCAAAAAATACATAAATATTTATAGTCATATGTTTTAAATAAAATTTTTATTACTAAAACAAACTTTAATCTTCTAAATGTTTTTCATAAAATAATTTTATATTGGTAATTATAATATTTAGAGGTAGTTATATTGAGAACATGTACTTAAATAGTTAAAAGTAAAAAGTTTTAATTAGAATTATTATTGTCTATTTAATACTACTACTATTTTCATTCTAATTTGTATCTCGATTCATGCTAAAATCCTTAATATCACTATTTAAAAATTAAGAAAATATAATAATTCAAAATCAAAATATTGGAGATAAAAGTGCGCAGTCAAAACAGTCGACAAACTGTTTTAATTTACTTCTCTACACAATTGTAAGACTATCTAGAACAATTGTAAGGCAAATGTGTCAAAATTTTCATGTCTATATTTATTATTTAGAAAACAACTATAATAATAATAATTTTGACACTATGATAGAATACTTTTGATAATGTTTTATTATAGATTTGGGTTTATACGATGGAGAAGAAAGTGTTGAAATAATCCTTTTAGAGTTTGTAAAATTTTTCTAATATAGTTTTGATAGTGAATTTGGGCCATTTCTTTTTTTATTTATTGTTCATTTTGATACCAAAAGAAAATAGAAAACAAAGATCAGCAAAAAAAACATTGGACCACAGATGAAGTCAATTCATCAAAAAATATAAAATCACTAACTCATCATCTGATTACAAATTGAAATTACAGGGCAACAGTAACAGTTCTACAGTTTTGTCAGCGAAAAATTTCATTTTTAGTATTCACATATATACCAAACAAGAAAATTTCATTAAAATGCTTAAGAGTAGTATTAATTGTTCTTTTAAGTAACGAGAAAGGTAATAAGTATATGTGTAATTTTTAAAACTTTGAAAGAGTCAAGTGAAAAGGTTTTTAAAATTATCCCATTCCATTTTGTTTTCATCATCTTGGACATGAGAATGAGAGGCGACAAATTAATATATGCTATTATTGTCAATTAGTAATAGTACGGTATGATGGGATGGACAAGGAGAGACAAGGCTAGCTGTCTTTGACCTTTAGCCCAATCTTCATTCTCCAACTGCCCATCCACCACCCAATTACCTTATCTTACCTTACCAATTGGGGGCTACAAACTTTGACCTTCTAAATTGCTTACACATTTGATAATTAATAATTAAGACATGTACAAGAAAAGATAAAAAAAAAAACCATTTTTGAAACATTCTCTCTTATTTACCTTCTCCCTTCCTAAGATGAACAAAACTTGTAACTCTTAAGTAGATTTTACAAACTAATACAGCAATAAAGAAAGAAAGAAAGAACAGGAATCAGGTAATAGTAAATGGTTATGGCTTTCAAGGCTGTAAGAAAATGAAAATGCAGACATTTTGTTGTTTAGACCGTTAACATATTTTTATTAATATCTCACGTCATAAAATCGTCTTATTTGAAAAGGGATATTTTTTAATCAAAAAATCTCTACAATGCCCTTTTTATATGAACACGTTTTTAATTATATTTTTATTTTACATATTATATCAAATCACTACAATACATTTTTTACGGAAAAACTCCAAAAAATTTTTGTGTTTGAATTGTATTTTTTTTTATTTTTCATGAAAAAAATACTGTAACGATTTGATGTATGTAAAAAAAAAAGATAATAGAAAAATCTGACCACGAAAAATAACATAATTTTTTTACAAAAAACTGCAATCCAAACAAACAAAGCTGATTCAGTATCGAAAAAGTTGTTGTACTCCATTCACGTTTTTTCAGTATTCACATTACCACCACACTTAAAAATAAGTGTATTACTAGTAGTGGTAATGATGAATGAACAGGTGAATGCCACTGCAACCTGCGGATACCATCCTTCCTTCCTTCTGATATCTGATCTGCTTTAGATACAGTAGAAGATATAGAAGATAGATAGGGCCTGACGTGACCAGTCACCAGTCACTTTAATCATTTGTCATGTCCATCTTGGTCCACTCTGACTGCAGGGAGGCATCCTCCTCTGACCCATTCTATCCGGTCCCTTGACTGCTGCCATTTCTTGTCCTCCTTCCAACTTTCATCATTCCTTTTCCCATTTTCCTCCTCCTCCGTCTCTCTGCCGTCTGCATCTGCTTGCTCATGATGGACATGGTCTCAGCTTCAGAAGCAAATAATAATAATAATGAGCAAAACGCACGGAACCCCACAACAACATCCTCCTCCTCCTCCTCATCATCACCATTGCCGGCGGTAGTAGTCTCATCATCATCATCATCATCACTACGAGGAGGAGAAACTAGGCATGAGCCAAGACCTCTTTCTGGGATAGGAGGAGTGGGAGGCACTCATCCGGGTTTCATGGGAAAGCACAGAATGACAGCTGCCATAGGCTATCTTGATCAGCAAATCCAAATCATCCAGGTCCCTCTTCTGTTTTTGCATTTTTTGTTGACAGATTTTTGGATCCATTTATCCAAATAACCATTTTTTTTTTAATTGCAGATTTCTTGAATTTGTTTGTGTCTGTTTACCTAAATTCTGAATAAGCTTTCACTTTTTCATCCAGGAAGAACTAGACCAGCTCGATACACTAGGTCAATCCTCTGTCGTTTGCAAAGAGTAAGTTTTAGAAATCAGAAGTCAAAAGGGGCTTTCTTTTACCTGTTTTTCTTGATTATCCTTCAGTTGCCTTCACCACTTGATTGCCTATGCCTGTTTGGGGATGTACTAATATACCTATCTAGTGTTTAAAAGGACTTGCATTATCTAGTGTAGTACTAGTACTGTAACTTTTTCCAAGATGGGCTCTTGCTTGTTTCCAGGATTTGACATTTGGACAAAAAAATTTTGCTTTGGATTTTTCACCTATTTGGCAAAATGGCTGACCATATTAGCAGTCTATCTTTTGTTAATACAACTCCATCTTGCACGTATGATGTAACTTTCACGATTGGGATTGATCTTAAAATGCTGTAATTAAAAGTAACCAAAAGCTGATCACTGCAGCCAGCCAAATTTGGCTATTGTCTTCAAAACTAATTTTTCTGAACGATCATTTTATCAAACTGTTTTTGTCTTGAAGCTTACAAATCACTACTTTTGTTTCAAGCATAAAATGAAAATGCGAAAGAAAACTTTTCATTAGTCCATTGTTATATCCTTTTGCAGGCTTATCACCAGCATTGAGTCTGTTCCAGATGCTCTACTTCCTCAGTAAGGGCTTTCATCACTGTTACATTTCAGATTTCAGTAGTGTTTACTTATCAGTCGCCAAGAGTGAATTTTGCATTGATCTGCAATTTTACAGGACTAAAGGCCCTGTGGAGACTGGCTGGGATAGATGGTTTCAAGGAGGCCATGGCTCGAGAAATCGCAAAAAGTGGATTTGAGAGCAGGCTCTATAACTTCTTGACGAAATATACAGTACAGGGGTGGGGGTGTGGAAGGAAAAGAGCTTCTACAGCTCTAGTGCTGCCATTTGGGCAATTTTTTGGTGCTAGAAATTTTCATATGTTGTAATACTAATGTGAAGGCATATGCTATCTAGCCTATGTTGACTGGCACTGCATTGTTTAGTTTTGATTGAGCGTGAAATGAAGCAATTTTAGATAATGAAAACTGTTCATGAAGATATGGACACATTAATACAGTTGCAAGTCATTTGCTTCCTGACTTTTTTTTTTTTTTTTTACATGAAATTTTGAAAGAAAAGGAAATTCAGATAATTTGTCTTCTGCGTTCAGATTGCAGTGATTGAGGAACAGGAGGAGCAATAAACTGCCTAACTAAGACTTAGAATGAGTGCAGTGAAGAATAGTTTTACCCCAATTCACAGGCAATTTTGTCCCCTGCTGGAAAATGTACAAGCACAAGCAGATACTTAAAAAGGACAAAAATGATAAGCAGCCACAACAAAAGAAAGATTTGCTATTGCCTAACTCAAATATTTCCTGATAAGAAAAATGAACAGAATATCTTGAGAAAGTCCTTGCCCCCACAAATTATAAAGGAAAAAGGGGGGAAAAAAGTGGTCTGTCTCTGCTTTTATCTCTAGGTAGTGGTTGCTGGGGGAAGGAAACTCTGTGAATGCTATAACATATGGAGATCCATCTAGCTACAAAACCTAGAGGTAAAGTTCTATCTGCGTAGCACTTCCAGAGAAAAAATGGCTATACAGTCATGGCTCTGCGGTTTCTTTCCTCTTGGTGGCCATGCAGCGCAGAATCGCAACCAACACTAGATGTTTTTTCTGACAAGATGCTTGACTCTCCTGCCCAAACAGAGTCTTGCAGTAATTGGAAATCCCATGGGAAAAACTGTCAGACTATAGCAAGTCTTGAAGCCAAGTAGGGAACTCAAACGCCTTCAAAATGTAGGACATGGGATCAAAATGCATGCATCCAGCACTGCTAGAGAGAAGAGAACATGATTGGATCTTCCGACTGTATCTAAACGTATCATCCTCTAAATGCAAAAGAATCATTTTGAAACCAAGACCGAGGATTCAAGAAAAGCTAGCTGATTTCTAGTTAGCATTAACTTCTCTTCAGCTTCCCTTGCTTTTTCTTGAACCCCACGAACAATGTGCTCTGGAGCTTTCTCTACGAACTGTATACAGCAAATAAAAATGCATGAGAGCATGAAACGCAAAAATTAAAAATTAAAGCTAACTATTGGCCATGTTATGCATTTAATCATCAAAGCTTAGCATTGATAATATGACATACACGTCACGAGAACATTTACCCATAGTTTAAGACTGTCAACTAATCATCATGCAACAAAGTTTCCTCTTCTCATGCTCAGTGCACAGAAGTCCGTCTATATCACAACAAACATTCAACGCATCCCACACAATAGGGACAAGTGAGAAGATGGATAAACGGTAAAATCTTTAGTTGTGCTTTAACTGGTTAAAAACATGGGCTTTTACCGTCATGTATTTATGTTGAATAAAAAACTTAAAGCTTCGCCACTACAGTCACCAGAATCAGCTTGTTACATAATTATGCAATCAGAAAAACAGATGAAGCAACATCTCTATATATGACAGGAACCTAAAAGGTAATGAACAATGGGTTCCATGAAAACTCCATTGTCAAAGATTCTTATTAGTATCTACTTTCATTAGATGCTGATATAGCTTAGGCTGTCAGCCCCCACTCGAGCATTACTAGTTTAAAAAACACAAATCTGAACTAAAAAAGACACCACAAAGAAGACGAAGCAGAAGAAGAGAGAGCAATTTAGCTCCAAATTCTTACTGCTAGAAAATCATCCCATTCGTATTAAACTGGAACTCCATCCTCTTTTTTACTTCATTTAGTTTTTCCACATTTTTGGGACACAATCAGATAAAAGAAGTCAAAATGTTTCATTTGGAAATTAAGAACTAGGAATAGGTTACTAGTCAATATGAAACAAAGTACTCACACTGGGTGAACTTAGACGAGCCATTAGTCCATCATATTCAGCTTGCATTTTAACAAGGCGCTTGGAAAGGCGCTCAACTTCAGAAGATATATCCACCATGTCAGCAAGTGGAAGGTTTGCCTCCAGACCCTCACTGGCAACTATATGTACAGATTGATTGGCATTCCCTAAACATCAACCACGTCAAATAGGCCACATGCAGATCCCAACAAATATGACGAAAAAGAACACGACCCAAAAGAAAAAATGTACAGCTAACAACACGAAAATTTATTTTATCTCAATTTCCACCAATCATAAATCTCACGGGAATTGTACCTGGAGCAGAATCCGTAAAGATCATGTTTTGCAGGTCCAACCTGCAAAGAAGAGCTAGAACTTCTTTTTCTCTCTGCATCATGCAAAAAGAAAAGAGTAAGATATGATCAGAGCAACTCTGAAAAATGAATTTTGACACACTTCCGTTAGACAAGAAAAATTACTGTCCGCACCACAAAACTACTTGCCCACGGTGCTTTCTAAAAACCAGACTGAAAAGTCATAAGAATCTCAGCAACCGTTGCTTCTACTTAAAGGTCCAAATTGAAACGAATATTGATGTGCACAATTTACCACAAAGGACGTCTCAGTTTACTGGGTAACTATACAACAGGTTGTAAATGGCAAATTTCCATGCATGGGTATAACACCAATGTTGCTAAAAGAGATACTATTGCACAACGTTAGGCATTACAAGGTCAAGTCATAGAAAAGCCGATTATGGAAAACCCTGAGCCTATGATAATCTATCTGTTCTTTAGATGCGCCTTTTAATTTCCTTAAAGACTAAAAAACAATAATCCATTGAATTTAGACTAAAAAACAAGACTTGGGCCCTCTTCTCTTTGCTCTTTATATTTTTCTGTATGTTTTCGGTGCTCAAAACTTGGCCAAATACCTACAATTTACTCTCATTTTACCGTCAAACCTTAGGACTCATACCCCCTATATGCACGCTCCTATTATTTGTATTAAACTGAAAAAAACAAATAGCACACTCAAAAGACTATTAATCAGCGGGAACCAACTAGAGTCATTCAGACTTCAATATCTGTTTCAGTGTTGCTAAAACAAAGATATGCAGTTAATTTCAAAAAATTAACTTCTTTACTGTCGAAGGATGTGTAATAGTGAGTGAGATGATGTGTTTTAGCTTCTGCTTTCTGTCTTCCACATTATCCTCAGGAGAGAAACAATAATTGATGCAGGAGGCTAAATAGAATTTGAGGAAACATACAGAGGAAACATCTAATGGAAGACTTTCTTAGTCTTCTGCTTCCAATGGAAGACTTTCTTGTACATCTATCCGTGCAGAGGAAACATACATAAAAGCATATACAATTATCTTCATCTAGTGGCAGTCTTTCCTTTTGGCTACAGGCACTATATACGGAGCCCCGATGCACACCGGTGCCTTATGAATGAACATTTACATCCATATTTCAGAAGGCCACGTTTAATTGCAAAAACATACAACTACAAAATATTGGTAGTCATATGGCGGCACCCGATGCATATCACCTGTAGAGATTCTCAGGTTGTTAACATGATTGAGCACATTATCACAGCCATACCTAAAACGATCTTCATTAAGCAATGAAGTGAAACCTATTAACAGTGAAATTCAAGGCATAAGAAAATTTTCACCAAGTAGACTGACATAAATGAGATAAAAACTTACTGATATATATTCAATTACTTCTGAACTTGCAACAATGGATGCAGATATTCGCTTTGCGGGCTCAACAGAGTATTCAGCCCGAATATTTCTGATTGATCTTGTCTGCATGAAAATTTTAAAAGGTCAATGACCCTGGAAAAGCCATACATTCTAGACAACAAGTCTGGAGCTGGAGAGATGGATGCACCTGTGACATGGAGTAAAGTTCAGAAGAAGCTTACCAGAGCCTGTAAATTTTCAAATTGCTTGATTGACTCAACATGCCTTGGAAGTGAAGTCAATGGCCAAGCAGATGCCATGAGAGCTTCTTCCCGGGAAGGTAGTGCCTGTCAATGAATAAAAAAATGGAAGAGTCAAAGCTCTTGAAGGTAGGCATTTACATAAATTAATTATTAATATGTATATCATTTTACACAGGCGTCAGACTGATTATCAAACTATCTAGAAACAGAATCTGATAAGGTCAGAAGTTCAACGTAAAAAATTGGGACTCAATTTGTGATGAATAGCATCGTTTACTGAAGCACCTACTAAAGAGTTAGACTAGGATTTACTTCTTTTATGGATTCTGTCAAAATTATCTTCAATTGTTATTTGGATGAAGGTAATATTAACATCCACACTCTGAAACCACTTCGAAGATTGTCTGATTTTGCATCTGTAAACATTTAAACAGAATTTGAGCTAAATTTACGTTACACTGGAGAAGAGGTAAAAATACAAGTGCCTAGTTAACCAGATCACATTGAGTCCTACTTTGGCAAGGTGAAGAGGTATCATAAGTAATACAAGTGCCTACTAGTGAAGAGGTAAAAATACAAGTGCCTACATTGGCAAGGTGACTGCTTTTGATGCTAGTTGAGGTAAACCTCTTGCACAATTACAATTATGAATAATAAGCAACCAGTGTGCATTGGTCAATCAAATTTCATGATGATAAACAATCAGATTTTCTATATACTACATTCCACCTATTAAAAAAAGAGGAGGACAAAAAAGTAGGATCAATTACCCAATTTGAAGATATGTTCATTACCACTATCCATTCTTTCTCTAATGTAAAGACAATACAGACATTCATTTAGTGGCAAGGCAGTCCACACCACACCCCTAAATTCTAAACCATGTTGATACGCAAAGGGGAAAGCTCATTTATCCTATAACTCCTAATTTCAGGAGTTTAAGAGTACATAGGAGTACCCCGAGCCTCGAGGAATGGCAAAATCTAACTCCTGGTCTTTGACATCAAAAAAGAAGGTACCCAACTCGTCTATTTATTATTAGAAATTATTTCACTTGGAAATCATGTACAGGAAAATCTCTAAAATGCTTGATTTGTTTTCTGAAGCCCTAAAGGTCACCAAATATATTCACAAGCAATAAACATAGGCATCTTAATTTTTCCTGAATTCCATTTATTATCTTTCTCATGCATGTAAAAGGAAGCAATATATTTTAAATAATTCCCATATAATTTCCAACCATATATTGTATAAATAATTTGCATGGCTTCTTAAAGAAGCAGTTGATGACAAAAAGATTATATTGACTTCTCTAGTTGTGTATATATATGCATAGATAAGCCACCCAGAAAACAGCACATCGCAGAGAGAGAGAGAGAGAGAGGGAGAGAGAGAGCTGCTTACCTGCCAAAGCTCTTCTGTGACAAATGGCATAAAAGGATGTAACATCTTTAAAATGTTTCCAAAAACATATAAGAGAACAGACTGTGCTACAGAAGCACGTGACTGACTTTCAGAGTGATAAAGGCGAGCTTTACTGGCTTCAATGTACCTGAAAGGGAACATGAGAAGCAAATAGGAAACATCTGAATTAGATTTAGTATAAGCTCCTCTAGAGTAGTTTTATAAAAATGTAACGGCTGAAGGTTTGAGAAATCAAATGCCAGCAACAAATAGATATCATTTCCAGAAGACCAGATCCATATCTAATTCTTCAATTTCCATCTCTATCATAAGTAATGCACTCAGAATATATCACAAAGTTAATATTTTTTTATTTATGAGAAGATAAGTCAAAGTTTTACTAAGGAAATTATAATATTTTCTTTTCTTTTCTCAAATAGTAGGAGTAGAATACAGATCTTAATCAAGGTAAACATCTAGCCTACCAATTAGAAGCCAAAAACAAATTGAAATTTTCAAAGGACAATTCTAAACCTAGGTATGACGTCTATGCCACACAAGCATGTAGCTTACATTCACCCTTCTAGTTAACTTCAACTATTTGCCTTCTTAATGATTAAGCACACTTACTATAGCTAAGATAACTGTACCCAAATGATGAAAAGTTTGTGAAACAACAAGATCTACAGTGACTAGTCTATATAGCCTAGGCATGATAATCTTATGGAGAATCAAATAAGGAAATATCTTTGTATAGTAAAAATGTTCTTAAACAATGCCATATATTCCTTAAAGAAATTTTATTTTCACATTCAAGATGATGTTCTAAGAACACTATTTCCTCCTCCCCCAACTCATGTGAAAAATCATTTGCCATTCACCTATGGTGCAGCTTTTTAGTTATTTTTGGAGTTTTAATATTTACATAGGGGTTTGCAGCTAAAAAATAGATAACCAAAAGGATCTATGTAAGACTTGAATGGATAAGTATTCAAGTACCTATAAATAGAAAAGATTAGTTGTGTTTAGTAAGAACAGCAAAAGAACACTGAAACATAGTATATGCACAGACATACGCATATGAGGTATATAAAGATGCAATAATCACTTTGTTAAATGCTTAAACTCATACAGATCCTAGCCCATGGGAGCATAAGAATGCTTCCTGCAAATTCAACATATGCATTTAATTGCCAAACCTCCTGATTTACACTAATATGCCACTGACAAAGGGAAAACAAAAAGAAGAATATTAAATTTTTTTCATTAATGAACAAAAAAGCCTGTGCATGTCCAGAACTTCTAAATTCTAACGGCACCAGGAAGAAAAGTTTGCAGTAAACTTCATGTAGAATGTACTCTTTGTTAAAATAATATCCCCTCTAAAGATTCTATAAATTGTGAATAGAAAAAACATAAACATACCAATCAGCAAAATCAGCCCAAAAGAAATCATATAGTTCTCTTCCAACATCTCCAAAGAAATATTTGTCATAACTTGATGTAACTGTGTCAATGAGAATGTGAAGTTTGGATACCTGAATATTGAAGAAATCACTAAGACACTGAGGTAATGGTTTGGGACTTAATGACAAGTATTAGATGTTTCTTACCACCCAACGTTCTGCCAAAGGTAGTTTGAGCAGAGACTCCACCATATCAAACTGAGAAAGGAATGAACACTTTTAAGCAATATGTACATACAAGGAGAGATGTCAAAGTGCCGGGGTTAGGTGGAGAGCCACTGTTGAACCCTTTTAAATTAAAAAAAAAAAAGCAAATAAGAGAGAGAGAGAGATGTTCACATATTACGAAAGCCCTCTTCTATAGAGTCGTAGTAAATGCTACTGAATTAATTATCCAAAAAAGGGGGGAAAAAAAGCCCTTCCCAACTTGCTGATTTCCTGAATAGAAATGTACAGTGCTAAGCAGTGTCTTGTTAATGTATCACTAGTGCACACAATGCCACCTATGAAAATATATGGCAGTGATGAATAGGAAACAGCTCTCCAACAATCATCGAGGCTAATGCATGAGATCCCCTATATTTTAAAGTAACAACAGTTTTTTTCAATCACTTCACAAATCAAAGCCTCGAAATGAGCACTGATCATGCAACAGTAAACTCCAGAGGGTTATCTACTTTATCTCCAGCCTCACCACATCCAATATAGATTATCAAGCAGCAGGGAAGACTTTAACTCGGAATGCAAGTATCTCAAAGATCCAGATGCAAATTGTCCCTGTTTCATTATAAGATAATTCAAAATACCTCCAGCTTAAGGATTGATAATTACCCAATCTTTCATCTACTTCATAATCCCTAAAAATCTCACCCAAACAAAAAACGCATTCTATCACGTGAACAATCAAGAACTTGGCTCAAGGAACCTTACCCTTACGCTTGGGAACGTTCAGGCACAACACCAGCAAACAAATAGGTTTGCTTTTTGGTTCCCAATTTAATCAGTCAGGTCCATTCAGATTCAAACAGTAAGTTTCAGAGAGTGAAAAATGATGGGACCAATCTAACAACTCTGGCTTTAAGGAACTTGACACACACCTTTTGTGCACAAACCCAGACAAGACCTTACACCTCTTTCCTGTTGAACTGATCTATACAGTCTGATTAAACATAGCTAGGTTGTCAACCTTTTTTGTGCAATACACACCCTATGCAGTCAACCACAGCCTCCCATCTGATTAAACAATTAATCATCCTTGTCTACTTGGAACCTCAGCTTCTAAAAATGTTGAAATGACTTTTATGTTTATTCCATGAAGTACTGATCCCCAAAGAAAAACATGTATAAGCAAAAACATACGGGTTACAATTGCTTACAATAAAAATTGAAGAGGATACAGGAACAAGTACTCAGACCCGCAAATATGAATTCTCAATTCATCAACTTAAAAGCCAATAGCTATGTTACTCTTTCATTGGCTCACATCTAATTCCCCTATTCTGTAGCAGGTAACCTTTCATAAGTAAAAAACATAGTAACCATGCCATATTAGTGAATACAAACCTTATAAATTGACAACGCTTCCCAAGAAGATAAATCGCTTTTGCTTGGCAAATTTTGCAGTATAAACTTGCCAGCATTCCACAATTTGTTAGTGAATGCCTTGTTAGAGGCCAACCTCTCAACTGATAAATTTAGATCCTGTAATAAAGCAGGCACAAAAATTTTAAGAGTTTTTCAAAATAGCCAACCCTGAAAGCAGTTTTGCAATTTTCTTAGAAAGCATGCAAATAAATAAACAAACTGCTAAAGTTACAAACTTCTCAAAAGAAACAAACCTGACCAGGAGTTCCTAATGCTAGAGTGAAGCGTAAGGCATCAGTCCCATATTCTTGAATTGTATCCAGTGGATCAATAACATTCCCCAATGTTTTTGACATTTTTCGACCCTGAAACATGTTGATTAAAAAGGTTTACTACAGCAATAGCAACTAGTTAAAGGACATGGGAATTTGTTAACCTTAAGCTCTGAAAGAAAGGATGAGGCCAAGAGTGCATTTAAAAGACTGCGGCACAGGAAACAGCAAGCCAACAATTAATGGTCACTCTAAAGGATCATTACAGAGGTCCAACTAGAAAAGCTATTCTCCTAACAGATCAAGCAGATAATATACTTCAATTTCTTTTAAGATTGTCAATACATTTTGACAAATGTACCTCAAGTGACCTGCATGATTAATTATGTGCCACTTCACATCACACAATGATTGAAGTGAAAACCACAGATAACTAGTCAACAGTTTGCAAATTTTACAATATTAAAGGAAAAATGCAAGTAAACAATAAATCTTAACCTACATTCTAAAGCATACATGATGTCTGGATCAGTGTGAGAACTATAGCAGCATGTACTCTTATTTAAAGAAGAATTTTTGTCAAAGATGCACAAAAGGTTAGCAATTTAGAACTAAAAGCAAAACAAAAATTGCCTCCTTTGCAGACAGAAACATTTGGATGTGCAAAAGGAAATTTTTATATCTTCAAAAGAAAATTCATCGACAGAAATATGGAACACAAACATTACAATCTGACAACTAATAACTATTCCTTTTTGGGTAAAAGCAGTGGGAAGGGTAAAGAAAGTAGGTCCTTTCGATACAGTGAGGAATTGATGATCAACTAAAACTCTAAAATCTACACTATGGGGAAGAATAACCTAAAAGAACGACATAGCCAAAGCATTGTACTACTACTTTTTTTGTCTGGAATTAATAATAAAGAAATCCATCATTCTATTCTCACATACTACAATTTTTGGCATGAAATCTTTAACTTGAAGCACTACATAGGTCCAAAAATCACTTTTTCTCTGTAGTACATCATTCATGCCTTCTCATTGCGCTCTATCCAGTATTGAAGACCTCCTTCAATTGTTTGTTGAACAACTTTACCAGTAAAGGAGATAAAACTTAATTTATAGTTGAACAAAAATTTCTGGACTCAATCACCAATTAATCTCCTATAACATATTTATGCTTTTGTCTTTCAATTACATATCGCACAAGATGCCCATTTTCGGAAGGTAGTTGACAAATAGACATAGTCTACTAAACTAGTGAAGTGCTTCTGAGAACATTTAAAGTTGAAAGCTCAAATGTTGGCCAATATCGTATAATTATGTAAATTCGAACAATCAAGTTACGAAGTACACTTCTCCAAGTTGACACAATGAAAATATTCATTCTGGTTAGTAAGAATAGTTACACTACGAGGATTTAACTGTGAAACAAAAGGTTAATGACAATTCATCGCACCAACAATTGAAGCATTGATAGATTGAAGGAGAATTAAATAAGCACCCATTTCTAGTGTACATGACAAGAAAAGTAATGCTCAGTGGCTGAATTAATGGAGAGACAGGTACTGTACCAGGAAAAAAAACACATAGAAAACTGGAGAAACAAGTGGTAATGTGGCAAGTGAAAACAACCACACTTAACTTGAGAGTCACGGATAAGTCCATGCAGATACACATTTGTAAATGGAACAGTCCCAGTAAACTCAATTCCCATCATCACCATTCTGGCAACCCAGAAAAACAATATGTCGTGCCTGTTCAACAGAACATGGGTCAATGTTCCAAAAGGAGCATAAGTTAAAAGGAATTGTGTTACACATACAGTGTATGATACATTTGTATATGGGCAAGGCTAGAAAGGGTAATAACAGCTCATCCACGGCAAGAAACTTTTTCAAATTAGAGAAGACTTAAGGAGTCGAGGACACAACTGAGAAAGACATTCCTTCGTGAAGTAATTGTGTATGCCATTATAATTTCATGTTAACTGAAGATAAAAACAAGTGCTGGCATGCCATGGTGCAGTTAGACTGAAATAGTAGAAATAACATCCGGCTGGAAAAAATAAAAACAGACAAAGACCCTTTAGCACCTTGCTGGCCTCATCACCATATAAACACAAACAAGATAACTAAAGAAATACAGAAGAATAGATTTTACCTCCAAAAGGCCAAAATCATTTTTCATTAACCAAAACAAATTGGCAACTGAATTTATTTGCTGAAATCAAAATGACATGATGTTATGATCTTTACCATATGTTCAATAGTATTTTGGAGATGGTAACCCTTTTCTTTTCAGCAATTTTCATGTTTTAACAAACAATTTGTTTCAGCAAAATGACGTACAATTAGAAGCAACTGTGCAATTAATAACATTTTCATTATTCCCAAATATAGTACTAATCCAATGACATAAAAGATGTCCATACCCAGTTTCAAGAATTGATGTAGGATAGAACCGCTTGAAATCTTCCGCCGACACATCTGGCCAACCAAGAGTACTGAATGGCCATAGCCCACTAGAAGAAAAGATAAAATAGTTAAGTTTCAACTAGATCATACATCAGAAGTGTGTCTGATTTATAATTACCATTCAGAATTCCAGAAACCAAATCCAAGCTGCAATATTGACTTAGCTCTCATTGTTTCAGCAGATAGACATTAAAAGAAGAGAATAAAGTACCAGAACCAACATCTACAACTAAGAATGCTCAGTCAGTAGTCTAGTTTTGCATCTTTTAGATTTTTCTTTTTTATTTATTTTCATGAATCAAGGGTAGCTTTTGGCAAGAGTTTCACAGGATGACACTTTGTCAAGCATCAGATATACCAGGCAAGTAACAGAGTTTTTAAAATGAATTGACCTGGTTGTTTCAATTCAATTTAAACATCAGATTGACCTGGTTGTTTCAATCTCTGCTATTACTCTTTGTTAATATATTTCTCTAAATCCCAACATAAAGCACCTTTTCTTTCAAGAAGAATATCAGTACTTCATGCTTGTCAAGAATTTAGAAGATGACCAGCAACTTGGAAAAAAAAATGCAACCAGAAAATTTGCACCTTAGACTAACTAAAATCAGAGTTTAAAGAACTGAAAGAAGTTTAATGACTAAGTATGCTTAACGACCATGTGAACCCTAATGTGTATTAGCCTTTACATTACCTAATATGATCCTTTTCTTTAGGTAACAAAAGGCCCCCAAAAAGAATCCAAAGAATTCTCATGTAAAAGCAAATTGAGTAATACACTTCTAAGATAACTATCAGAGAAACGTATCTACAATTCAAAATAATATTTAATAATTTCAACAAAAAAAGTCAGATCCTAACAGAGTCAAAAGTATCTTCTTAGAGAAGATTTCCCAGGAAAAGCAAACTACTTTTCAGACTGAGCTAACTGCATTGCAAAATCTATGAGCAAGTAATCAAATAGTCCAACTCAAATTGAATACCCCATTTAACATTATATGGTCAAGCAGACTTTTCCAGCCATTGGGCTTACTCTCGACAGCTCATAAGAATCTATAAGCACACAATTACAATGGAAAATTGCTATTTTTGAAAGCCCGTGAGATGCTGTTAGAAACAGTGATTAGCTTTTCCAACATGAAAAACAAAAGCATGTTGTCTCTACAATTTTTCAAAATCAACTGTATTTCATTTGAAATGATTTGCTTATCGCTTATATAAGTTGTTGAAAACAAGCCTATTATATCTAGTGTCGATTAATACAATTCAAAACAGATACTGGTCCAAAACAGGACTAAAATTATTAACTTACTTAGTTCCCTATGGAAAAGAAATATAGCATATATACACTAGTACTGAATATTTTTTCAAACAAAGTATGGTTTGAAACTGGAAAAGGGATTACAACATAAATGGGATCCATTTGACAAAATCACATTGCAAGGATGGTATAGGTGCAAGGCTTTTAAGAGTATTCTCAAAAAAAAAATTCTACTAACCTCGAAAACCAAGTGTCAAGAACATCGGGATCCTGATATATTTCAACATGTTTTCCATACTTCTCTTGAGCTTTTTCAAGGGCTTCTGCTCCATTCCTAGCAACTATATATTCCTCTTCAGAATCCTTACCAACTATGTACCAGACGGGGATTCGGTGTCCCCACCAGAGTTGTCGACTTATACACCAATCCTTGATATTTGACAGCCAATGCTTGTATATCTAGAGTCAGTAAGTAGCACACGTGTAAGCTGTAAAATCTAGAGTTATATAGTACACTACAGAACCAAGAGATAAATAACAAAACAGGCTTCATGAAAGTAAAATTGAACTGAATATATGCCTATTCTATCTCACTTTATATAAAAAGGCAAAAAAATAGTTCCATGTGCCAGAGAAATCTTTTCCTTTGAAAAGAGACAACAAAGACAGTTGAGCAACCACCACTATAAAAGCTTTTCAAAACTTGGAACACATTAGCTTTTTTCTGATGTATTGGAATGACCATACGTGGCTTATGGGAGAGTTAGTAGTTACAAAGATTTAAAGAAGGTTCCTAAGTAGCCACCAAGAACATGTTGCAAGAAACAGAGACACAGAATTTTACAAACATATGCACCTTCTCAAATCTCTCAGGCATAATAGTCAATTCTCCTTTTTCAACCGCTTTGAGAGCCTTCTCAGCTAAGGGCTCCATTGTTACAAACCACTGCTTACTTATGAGAGGCTCAACTATCTGCTTATCACAATATAACGCCAGAACCCAATAAGCAATCACCTTTAAGCAGTTCACAACTTATGTGAAGAAAGAAAAATCATACTTCTCCACCACGTTGGGATCTAGGAACTCGCAGATTGTAGGCCTCCTTTTTAACAGCCAAGCCTGTCTCCTCAAGATCTGACCATAGTTTCTTTCGTGCCTCAAACCGATCGAGACCGCTGAAAGAAGAAGCGCAATCCAAGATATTAACAAATCACAAAATTATTCAGTACGACAAGTATCTGATGTTAACAAAAGAGAATATAATAGATAAAAAATAATTCTTTGATGTTCCAAAAGTGCATCTTGCTACGCACCAATACAGCCCAGCAACTTCATTCAGTGTTGCGTCCTTGTTCATCACATTAAGTATGGGAAGACCAAGTTTTCGAGCAAGAAGGTAGTCGTTGTGATCATGCCCAGGGCTTATCTTCAACACACCAGTTCCAAAGTCTTTATCCACATACTGCCGAATTTTAAAAACCCATTACATTCAGAGATCATGATATTGATGTGAAGCATACATAAACGGCTTTAGGGACAACCCTTGGAAGTAGACGTGAAAGAAAAATAAGTTCATAGAGTTCTCATCCAAATAAGAATATGCAAAAAGCCACATAGCTTACAGATGCATCTACTTCTCTAGGCATAGAGCATTTAAAACACAACATACACGTTAAGAAACACGTAATAGAGTCAAAATGGAAAGAAAAGGAATTCCAAGACTATAAAAAAAGACAAAAGAAGGCAACTTATAAGGGAAGAAGCTCATCTCTCATGTTAAGTAATTTCAGATTGCTGAAAAGTAAATAGGTAAACAGATTTTTTCTGAGTATGCTGTGAAGATTATTGAGATTCCAGCCATAAAGATACAGTTCTAGCCATCATTTAGGCTTTTACCATCAAAATCAGCATATGAGTAGCTTTTCTATCACCTTTAGATCTCACGGAAACTTGATTCAATAAGAATAGTAAAAAATGAAATTACACCCTACCTTGTCCGAGATGATGGGAACATGCCGTCCAAACGTCAATGGAACAATAGCCATCTTGCCGATGTACTTAGAATAACGTTCATCCTGCAAACGATGAAAAAGAAACAGTGTACATATGATGCACTCTGTTTTGCACAGGAAAAGACATCTAGCAACAATCTAGGGAACTGCAATAAAAATACATTCAGTTCATTGGTGCCTCTGAGAGGTGATGCAATAGCGCTCCAAGAAGTAGCTGACAAGAGTCTTCTACTTCACTCGAACACAAGTTGATTAATCCTAAAACATGGTATGGGTGGCCACTCAAATAAAAAAAATGAAAAAAAAATTCTAGGTCCAGGCAGTAGGCTTCCAGATTTACCTTCTGCAGAAAATTAACTTTTGACTGCAATTTGAAGCTGTTAAAATGAGACAACACTCAAACTTCAGTGTCCCTGATCCCTCCATCTCATTTTATATCAACCTATTTTCCAAATTTTGTTCAGCAGAGATCCCACAAAAAATACTTCACCATCCACATCCAAACTTTGGATATCCCTAAGACATTATAGTACCTTTATAAGAGTGAAAGTCAAATATTGCCTCAATGTACTTCTCCTTTGTAAGTTAACATGAAATAATGGAGTCAAGTTCACATTTCACCCCAACACCATCTGGAAGGGGGTGATCAAGTGGATAAAACATCTGATTGGAGTGCAGAATTTCCAATGCACAGATCAACTATGTTTTCTTACTGGCAACACCAATGGAAAATGCATTTGTAGTATTATAAAATCAATTTCCAAAAGTTGGAAATTCAAAAAGGAGAGAAATATACAAATCCAACTAACATCCATTAATATCCAGAATTTTGCATGCAACTTAATACTTCCCATTAGTGGACACTATAGTTATATTTTACGTCATTCACAAGGCATGGGCGTCAGATATAAATAAATTAAGCAGAACGGAAGTAAATTGGTTTATACAGCATAGAATTCTGTAAATATCAATTTGACACAATAAAGCTCAGTTCTTTCATCTTTGCATTCTGCTTAATTTTGCAAACAGCAAGTGACTGATTAAGTTGCAATAGTGGAAAAAGGAAATCCAAAGCCAGAACATAGCATTTCCTTTTCAGATTAACCAAATTATCAGAAGTTCAAACATTTTGTAGCACAAATAACTATACACCAAGATAAAATGTTGTGACTCTATCAGATGGATTTCTGTCCAATAGTCCTATTTAGCCACTAAACTGCAATACTCTACAAACAGAATTATTTCTGCAAATAGTCCTATTTAACCATTGTCTGCATGTGGTTGACTATTTCTTTTGTCCAAGTTTTACATAATTATTTGTTTTTCCCTACCAATAAACTCGGAATATCCAAGTTTTCACTTGCTACTTTTTGTGAAATTCTTGCTGACTGCACACTTCTCTTACATCTCAAAAGTCAAGACTCAAAGCTTCTTTACCATCTTCTTAATTGTTTTTCAGTTACATAACTGAGGATAAAGGATATCATAAGACAACTGAAGGGGTGGTTAATTTCCACAAGCAATTAAATCAGAATTTGGTCTTATTGCAGAAGAAAATTAAGACTGATTATGTCTAAGAAAAAATGCACAAAAAGTAGGCAATAGACAAGAAACTAGCAAAATCCGAAGACAATTCCTGGCTAAACAGCAATTGATTGGTCACTGAAATATAATGTGATGAATTCTATTTGTAAAACTTTGTCTCAATCAGACGGCAAAGGAAAACCTAAATCCATTATCCAGTAGAAAAAGGCTCACATTACGACAGAAAATCTTGCCAAGCCAAAAAGTTTAACCATTATCTTCAGCTCTGGGATTAAGGAGTATGTACAGCAGATAAGCAACAAGAGAACTGGAAAATTGGCATTAAATGATGACCCAACTGACAAAGCTTAACCTTACAAGCCAAAAGCTATGCATCAAGCAAACCTCGGGTGAATCAAGTTAGCTTTCCCTCTAGTTAAATTTGAAATGTAAAGATAAAAGACAGTCAGGCAAAACCAAGTTACAGTTCTAATCCTGTATGAAATCAGACCAACAAGCATATGCATTAAGATAAAACTTCTCTCTCCATCTCTTTGAAATCTATTGCAACTGCTAACTCAAGTATATGCATGAAAAATGCAAGAGCGAACTATTCTTCAATTTATGAGCAAAAACTTAAACAGAAAGAGCAAATCAGGGGGCAAATAAGAGCTTAAGCCCAAAAAGTAGAAAAAGGAATAAATATAGTGTTAATTTCATTCTTCGTCCCGTCATAAATAGGAGAAAAATTAGAGTTTTTTCGTCGTCTTTACAAGAAAAGAGTAAGCTGTGATACGTTCACTAAAAAAAATCCTTTTGTGGACAATCATTTATTAAAAAAAATTGATAAACTTAATACAAAAGCAGAAAAAGAAATAATAGTAACTTGATCCCGAGCATCCACCATTATACCCACAATGATAGGACATACCATTGGTATCCATAATGGTAAAGAGCATCTACCTATTTATAAAACAGATCATATGGTAGGCCACAAATTGGGAGAATTCGCACCAACTTTAAATTTCGAAGGACATGCAAAAAGCGATAATAGATCTTGTCGTTAATATTAAATATAAAATGATGCTTATGAGAATTCATTACTATTAATCTAATAGATAATAGCACCATATCTGGCAGAAACATACCTCAGGATTTACAGCAACAGCTGTATCACCAAATAAGGTCTCTGGACGTGTGGTTGCAATTGTCAAATAATCATTCCTACAACCAAAAATATAGCATAAGTAAAAGAGACGATAACTTTGTCCTAGATTTCCACTATGAAAAATAAATATGTTAACAAACAAATGGTAAATCAGCTTGCTTTTAGAAGACAGAAATTGCATGTTAAGGGCCTCATCAGTTTACATCTTAAAATAAGTTTCCATACACCAGAATGTGGACATGTAAAAAATGTTCTTAGTTCTCGAAGAGGGACCTGTTTATGGGACAGACCAGTTCATTCTGTCCAAATTTCAGGCCCCATTCTAGTTATAAGTGCCTCCAGATTCCAAATATTTATGAGAATACAGAAGCATAACAGCAGAGCATCAAGCAAGGGCCTGTGAGCTTATGTTCAAGGATAAACCGACACACCCAGCAAAGAGTACTCACTCCATTTTTCCTGGGATATTTCCTCCATCTGCTTACATCTTCTCCAGGCCTTTTCACATCTATGTATCCTTCAAATTAACCTCCGCAACAAGTTACTTCAGTCTAAAGATAATCATGTTCATTTGTCTCCAACAAGTTGAGCAAAGGAGAGGTAATACAATTTTTCAAGGTCCGGTGTTACAGGTTGTATCATATGAAAATGAAGATGGTCCTAATACACTATTATCCATGTAAATTGAGTCTTCAATGTGCCCATATTCACTGCATTCTGTGTAGACTTCAAAAAACTTCAGGGGTCTTTTACAAGGCAAATTTCTGCTGCAGTCATGAATCTGCATATAATATTTGAAGCAATGGAATTTCTGCAGTTATAATTCTACCATTCAAGATGAGGCACTTGAATGAATGGATCCCTAGGATCCTTTTCAGTCCTTATACTCCCACTGCCAAAACGAATGCTATGGTTTAGAATTGCTAAAAGACATACTACAGCAGGTTCAAATCTAATCAAGACTCAGTTGGCTCCATACTGGTGATATAGCACTGAAGAGATTTGTTAAGTAATTCCTCCATGATCTTGGTAATTGCCAAAGATGTTTAAACAGTTTTCTCCCCTAAAACTCACATGTAAATTTTTTATTAGATATCTATTATGCATTGGTTTGTGGAGATGTATGCTTTTACACTTCTGTCAACAATGTTACGACTCTTCCTTGTGACTAACAAGCCATGCATTTTAATGGTTGGCATGATTCAGCCATCAACTTTATCAGATTTGAGAGTCAAATGGCTGTTACAATGTTTATTCTGTACCAATGAAATCGATGCTGTAATTAATTTCACATTTACCCTAATTTCTGAAGCCCATTTTCTGATATTTATAGTTAATTCTGCTAAGGAAAAAAGTGGGAGGTTAAAAAAAGAGTCAGAATACAAAAGAATGACACTCAGTAGTTAGCAAATGTTGTCTAAATGGTACTATCAGAAAAAAATTGAAGGCCATTATGCCAAAACCTTCTTTAGGCATTATGTGCAGTAAGCTGATTCCATCAGGCCCTTGCTATCTGAAAATTTCAGCTGAAATGGCACAATTTTTTTCCCAAATGTTTGACCATGAAACATAAGAACTCATGAGAGGATTGCTACCCATTCCCATGCTTAATGGTGCACAGTATCTGCCCAATCACATTGCACTCCTCACCCAAAATGATGTCCAAGGCACTAGCCAGATGGTTGCCTTCTTATCCGTTGATGCTGACCCATCAAACAAAATATAAATGACTGGTTTATAGCCATTTTCAAGAGACAAACTCTTTTTTTTTTTCGTCTTCCGTTGGGCAGTTCATGGAGTCCAGTGAGAAAGTAGGAACTGGTTTTGAACACCTTAACAAGAAAAATCCATGACTTTACCTAAATTCTTCACCAATACCTGATGCACACAAACTATCTCCTGTAACATCACTAACAATAAATTTGATATGAATCACTATCTGGAGCATCTACACAGTTGTCTCCGTAGGAGAAAGTAAACTGAAATCAGTTGTGTTGTAGTGAGGTCTCCATGTGTTTGATGGATCATGTGGTAGCCTTTTTCTAGCTGCAACTGGTTCTAAAATTAGTCATGTTAAATCAGCATATATTTGTATAAGTGGTGTATGTGTTATATCACAGCTTCATGGCAAAACTTCAAGTGATCAATTTTTTTTGAGAATTTCTATAGAAACTAGTCCTTTCTACCATTGCTTGTGCTTAATAACATCTCTGAAAATAAAAGGATTTGGCAATCTAGCAACACAAACTCTCAAGGGAAGCAAAGATATAATTTTTAACACAAACATATAGGCTTGATAAATAGAAGACAATGGCAAGGCACGTTTAGAAGTTAGCACCAAAGTGTCATATTCAGTGGAAAGCCTTTCATGGATTTTAGTTGATTGTGTTGAAAGCTTAGCTAAGATAAGTGCTAAGGGGTATGAACTCTATGTTTTTTCTCCATATGGATATGCATGAGTCAGGCTCAAGGAGATGATGCTCTCTATTTTCAACATAAGGAATGCATCTCAATATCTTGAAGCAAAAAAGTTACTAATCAACTAACAACAGGCAATGAAAAGTATGCAAAATATTCATCAGAAAAATGGTTCATCTATACCTCGAACCTCCAGCTACACGGTACTTGATGTAATATAAAGCACCAGGTTCTTGAGAATATTCAACTTCCTACGAAAAAAGATTAACATGAACTAACAGACAAAAATAAAGCAGAAAAGACAGCTGTGATAGCAAAAGGTTACCAAATAACTGAGCATACCAAGTCAGAAACAGCAGTCTGCAAATTAGGAGACCAATTAACCAAATATGAACCTGCATCAAAACCACCACTAGATCCTTAGAAATAACCCTTATAGATGATAATTCATCCACTGTCACCAGCTTAATCAGGGCCAAATCTCTTCTTTCCCAATGTCGTGGTAACTAAGAGAAAGAACCTAACATCCAATTTTGTATGTCTTATCACCCCCAATTGTTTGGATGAGATGTCATGTTATTTCTCGGTTTGTTGGTTGATATAATAAAATTGCCCCAGCAACCAGAAAATGGAAAAAGAGCTAAACCCATCCTAATTCCACAATTATTTTATGTTGCTGGACATTCAGATTATTTTACTCATTAAAATTTATTTGCCTAGTCTGCCAGAAATGTGTAAATTTTTGCACAACAAAAGAGGTAACCCATACCTTGATAAATTAGGCCTTTTTCATGCAGCCTAACAAAAGCCTCCACAACAGCTCCTGCAACAATTGGAGTTTCAATGCTTTAGGATACTTTTTGCCATATTTCAATTAGTACAAGAAAATATCCATGTGGTCAGTAGAAATGAACACATTAGCAGAAAAGTAAAACCATATGACAGGAAAGAATGGAGACAGGGCTTCAGAGGCCAACACAATAAAATTTTACCATAAACCTTACGTGTTACCTTATCCAATTGTCAGTGTTCTTTTTTCTGCTACCTAACAGAAATAATATCCAATTCGAGTTTATCGTAATGAAAGATGTCTTACGACTCAGCTCTGCATCCAGGGTAAATCGTTCCCTAGTCCAATCACACGAAGCACCAAGTCTCTTAATCTGATTCGTAATGGTTCCACCATACCTAAAAGTAGAATACCAATAAGCAGAGCATAATATAGTCCTTGAATTTGAGAATAACTCCACAAGCACGTGAATACCATAAGAGCTCCAAAACCGAATTTGATGAATACATTAACACAGGTTCACAATAATGTAGTACAGCAAACGCAGGACATCGAAAAAAGGAGACCAATATAAAACATGGGCTATTAAATTCAACTTCAGTTTGTAAGCAGTGTCAGATAATGCTCACCTTAGTTGTCAAATATTTTAATCTGATCGTGCATGAAATTTGAGTCAGCTTGATATTTATGTCATGATTTATGCATAGGGATCCATGATGATTATCAAGTAGATATTGACCTCAGAAAAGAGGAGTCTAATGTTCACCTAATAAAGGAGAGATTATCAAAGCAAGGAGACCAAAAAACTAGTTTAATTCTCTAGCCAATGAGAAGATGTCCCCCACAAAACTTGCAAGAGACATAAATTGTCAATGAGTGGATTTACACCAAAAAAAAACGTCAGAAGTATATGTTGTCAAACAAGGAAGCACCAACTAAGCACCAAATATCTTGGCCAGTCTACAACCAAAAAAAAGGAATCAAGGGGAGAAATTTAAAGCAAAACTGAACAGAGAATGAAATCCTGCACAGTATAGGGAAAGAAAAGATTTTTTAACCAATAATCTTGCCAACCTTATAGCAAGTCAAAATGCGTCTGCATAACTTGCTAACACTTGGCTTTTCTAAATTTAGATTGTAAAAGAAGTCCTTGAAAAAAATGTTCAAATACGATAGGTCATGTCTGAACTTTTGAAAAGAGCTCTTCTGTGGGCGATTTTCGAATCTTTTTTTTTCCCTGCTGAATTTAAGCTCGAAGTAGACAAAAATGGACCAGATCAAATGTTAACAACACTTTCACTGTGCTTATTTGGAAGGCACTCAAAGGCATCAGGAAATATCAAGAGGCAAGTACATTTTCCATATGGGAAGAGAACTAGGATCACCATTAATGATGACACCTTATTTGTCTACAACTCCACAAGCCTTTTTCAAGGTAACAGAAATATTGATAACGAACGAGGCTACTTTTGTAGTGAACTTATCTATTTCCATACTATTTTATCTTATGCAAACCCAATTTCATTACCTCATTCACATCCAAAAAATTTAAATTAACTGCAAAAAACAAAAGAAAAGTCCCAGATTATCATATGACAAGTAGAATGCACACCCCTGCAGTGAACCAATAAAGAAAAGGTAAAAAAGGCCGAATTCTGCTAAAATTATGCCACAAGCATTTAAAATATCAAGTAGAATGCACACCCTTGCAGTGAACCAATGAAGAAAAGGTAAAAAAGACTGCATTCTCCTAAAAGTATGTCACAAGCATTTAAAATATCCTTAAAAGAGATGCTAAATAATTGATGCCTTTAAATAAACAAATAAATGCAAGGATCAAATCAATTATGTAGTGGGAGATATCAAGTTAGAAATTTTGGAGGAAGAACAGAAAGAAGATGTACTTCTCTTTCCAATCCCAGATTCGCTTTGCAAACTCTTCTCTACCCAAATCAACCCTCTGTATTCCTTCAGATGCCAGCATTCTCTCCACAACCAACTGAAAGCAAGAGAAAAATATATTTAGAGAAGCACTAATCCTACTTGTAGACTGACATCGTACATTGGTGGAAGTAAGCGAGAAAGAGGATGCTTGATAGTCTCATCTCAGTGAGACTGAATGATTAACATTTAAGTAGTTTAAGGAAAAAGAGATTATTCTGGGAAAATAATGTTTCTAATGGTTTTACTATATACTATGGTGACGTACAAAATCCGATGCCAAATTATACGTTTCAAATCTAGAGAAAGACCTGAGTTGCAATACCAGCATGATCAGTCCCGGGAAGCCAAAGTGTAGGTCTTCCTTTCATGCGATGGTATCTTACCATAATATCCTGAAAAATTGAAAGTTTAAACAGGAATATAAAATATGATGATGCATGATTGGGAACAGAGCACAAATAAATCTACCAGAGCTGATAACCCCCAGACAGTATGATGTAAACATATAAGAGCAAGGAAGATAAAACTAAATTGTGTTTGTTCAATAAAATAAACGTAGGTAAACAAGTCACGTTTTCCACAGTTAATGACGCGAGTAACCAGGAGCAAGCAATCAAATTGATCATCCCTCTTTTTCCCCCCTAACTAATCCTACCCCACTGTTTAAGCACATGTACAAGATCAACAGAAATTTGCTACTTCTTAAATCCTAAGGCATGCAATGAAACCGTTTAAAACTGAGTTCCCACTACCACACACAATGCATATATTTTAGGCCCAAGAAGGTAATAGAAAAGGAAATTTTAAAATAATAGCCTATGGTAAACAAGATAAGATAAGCATGAAAGTGATCAACATTGATCTGACCAAAAAACCTAGAATCCATAATTCAAGGTCATAATAAGATCTCACCAAGCATCTGATCAAATCCTAAATCAACACTTCTAAGTTTTAACTGATTTTACGAAAATTGATAAAAAATAAATAAATAATAAATAACAACAAGAACTCAAGTTGTAAGCAAATCACAAAGAGGAAAAGAGGCTAAACTGCTTTCAGTGAACTATCTTGTCATACCTCAAGAGTGACAAACATAGCATGCCCCATGTGCAAAGAACCAGTAACATTAGGAGGCGGCATTGGAACTACGAAAGGATCACTACCCCTATCAAAACTCGGCTTGAAGTACCCTTGAGACTCCCACCTGATATCGAACATGCATTCTCAGTTACACATTCTAAACAAAGCCCTTTGGCTTAGTAAAAGGTGGCTTTAGATAAAGTACGATGACTAAATTCATTTGCCGATAAACACAAGGATTTGTGCCGGAAGATAACAGCTATTCTGTAAACAAGCAAGCGCGAGCAATTGCCATCAAAACAAAGAAATGAAGTAAACATTACCACTTGTATATGCGCTCCTCATTAGCAAAATCAAATGACTTGGCCGTCTCTGGTGAAGTAAAAACGCCCGCATTCTCTGCTGATACCGCTGCTGCAACTGAATTTCAAACAAACCCGTATTTAGACAACTAACAAACAGGATAACAAAGAAACGAAAAACAAAAGGCCATTTCGTCAATTCTTTAGCCAACAGTTATTTCTTCAATTCTCAAGCAGTTAATCCTTGCGCTAATCTTTTCCGAACCCATTTCCAAAAAGTGAAATTTAGCCCAATTCTTGTATAAATAGAAATTATAAAAAACTGAAACTAAAATTCTTGCTGTCCCAACTCCAGAAAATTGAAGTGAAAGTAAAAACTTCCGGGAATTTCAAAATCAACTATCACATAAGTACGTCAAAGGTAAAACATAAAAATCTATTGCATCAGAATTTACACAAAAACATTACATAAGCGTGTAATGTTAGTGTACTGGCCCATATTGTCACAAATTTAAAAGATCATGCTCACTCAACCAGGCTTCCAATAACCTTAAAATCAAAGCCAGTACTAGAACGGATTGCGAGAAATGTTCAGCAAATTGAAAGGATATTCTAGGTATGCAAACACAGTCAGACAGCCTTCGAGGAATTGCAGAATTCTAGTAAAACTTCAATTTCATCAGCAGAAAGTACAGGCTAGAGATAGCAACTTCAATCCTCTTTGAAAGATGCTCTACGTAGCATTTCAGAATTTACATTGACATAAAAGCACCGGAGTCTAGGACTAATCTTCACTGTCAGAGCTACCAACACACTGCTATAATCACTACTGTCATCGTCAATGTCAAGCTGCACATGCCGAACTTGAATAGGCTCGGGTGCCTTTGTAAGCATTGGGAGGGGGATATGCTGAGGTTGTTGCTCTTCAATCTAGGAGGTATAGGAAGAGAATCCAATGGGGCAGTGCCACTGGATCACCAGGTTTCCAACCAGGTGGAGGAAGAATTGGTAGATCACTGGGCCACTCCACGGCATTCCAGGTTTCCATCCTGATGGCACAGAAATATTAGGTGGAAGCAGACCCTGCATTCCAGTGAGATTGGCCAGTGGATTTGGCTCTGCTGGTTGCCCAACAGGAGTTTCGATCAATGGCTCTATAATTTTCTTCTTATGCTCATCTGTTTTTGGTAAAACAACATCAAGATCAGCAAATGTGTACAGTTGGGATGCCCGCATTTGCTCCTCCTGTGGAGCAGGTGGGAGTGCCCCACGGAGAGGAGCCTGTCCAGCACCAAATTCTGGTGGTGCAAAAGTAGTGTAGCTTATCCTATGGGCATATGACAATATATCAGAAAGCTTCAGCTGAGATGCCACAGTGGTGGTTGAAGAATCTTCTGCAACATCTTCTGACTTGGACCGTTTTGAACGGCGATAATCCGAGTAATCATCCACAAGGTTGTCAAGAACCTGCTCAGCTTCTTTGAGCTTGCTTGCAAGTGCAAGAATTGCAGCATCTTTTGACCTGATTTCATGTGAGAGTTTCTGTTTTCCATCTTGAAGATCAAGAATTTCTTGGAGCTCTGCAACAGCTTCAAATAGCTGAGTTTGAAGGTTGTGAAAAGAGCGAGAATTTCTTTGGAGGAAGAAGGATAAGAATCTGGTGCAGTTGATGTCAAAGGTTGGGATTAGGAAGACAAGAAGGAGGGCAGGGAACCTCGAAATGCGCTAATCCAGTGCGACCTATTAGGCAAGTGAGGACATTTGCAGAAGAATAGACTGAGCTCTTGGCAGAGGGGGAAGCAGAGGAAGAAGTGTTGAAGAAGTTGGAATAATGCTTGGTGCATTTGATTGTTGATTGGGTGGATGAGATTGCTGGGCTTGGGAGGCAAACTTAGCCGGAGTAGCGTTTTGAAGAGAAGGTGAATTTGGATTTTGGTAAGCCTAGCCAAGCTGGAGATTGCACAATCTGATGCGGAACATTCTGGAGCATTTTGCACTTGGTTTCACCTTCAGCAAAACCTAAATCATCCTAAAAAGAAAAAAGAATTACAAGTGAATTCAATTAAGTACAATCTAACCACAAGTAGAATCCAAATAGAACAAGGACACACTGGCTTTGTTAGAGGGAAAAAACAAAAATATAAATAGATTGGTCCTGATAGAACCAGATCATAAGGCAAAAGAATGCTTGTTTCAGTTGATTTTGATCACAATTTGCCATATAGAAGAGCTAAGACAAAAGGGGAAGAGAATGCAACTTTAAAGGACTTTATCCATCAACAATTTTATGCATCTATGCTCCTGGCTGCTTTATTCACAATTCCACATCCAAAGTAATAGCAACTCATTAAATATCAACTTGAGGAAACATATTTACTAATCCTAGTTTTTTTAAGCCTGACACATCGCGTCAGGTTGCCTGGATTCTGCAGTGGTTGTGTATTATTTGGTGTTAGTTCTTAAGTAACACTTGCAAAATTTCCTATTGACTTGAAATATAGATGGAACAAGCAAGCCTCCAATAAGGCCAAATGTGGCATTCAATTTAAACATCACCAAGAGTAACAGTATAACAAAAAATTGCAAACATAATATGCATAAACAGATAGAGTACATTTGCATGTTTTACATTGTTGTTATTATAACTCTTGCATATTATGCAAGGTTGCTAGTCAATCTTGACTGTTAGGTAGTTAATCTGGAGCTGCCTTAGCAAATGGAGATAAAGAAACTATTCTAGTAACAAGGAGGACATTGCATATAAAAAACTAGTAGTAACTGATTAGATGCCTCTCTGCAGTTCGAGTGAAATATGTTATTTCAATTATCTTTACATAATGTCGTGCCTTCGCAACATTCTGCTGGTCTAGCTGCAGATTTCTTTAACCAAGAAAAGTATAGAAAAAATCAAAACTACCTACTTTGTAACACTGTCAGAGTGTATACATACATTCCAGAGGCAACATACATACTATTCAATAGATAAATAGTGCAAGCCGCAGCCTTCGCCCAAAAAGACTTTGACATATTCTTTAATTTCAACATGCATCTCACCATATAAAAAGTTTTGATTTATTTTTAGACACAAAAATCTAATGCATGAGAGTAGGGGTGAGCAAACGGTACAAATTCGGTAATTCAGTTAACTGAATTCAGTGAATTCGGTTATTTGACTTATAGAAATCTAAACCGCTTTCAATTTCAAATTGACTATAACCGAATTCATTTCGCAGCCGATTTCGAATTTGGAAATGGTAATGAATTGGTTAACCAAATTCATTTATAAAAAAAAACTGATTTTTTAAAAATTATTATTGATTTGATCTCCAAATTTATTCATAATTTAACACATTACTTATGTTCTAATCATTTTGTGGTTTAATTCAATTGGCATTTATTTGATAATTTATTCCTAGAATCCTTAGCCTATGATTTAAGGAACACATAAAAAATGATTAATTTAAACTAGAATAAATCTTAGACTATATAATGATTAGTGATAATTTATGAATTTATAATTTACAATGATTAATAATAAGTAATATTAGTTACAAACTTACAAATTACAATGATTAGTGATAAGTTATATTAGTTACAAACTTATAGTTTATTTCAAATCAAAATAAAACTTATTTACTTACATATGTTATTGTGAAAGTCAATATACTAATACATTGATTTGCAATTCATATACATTCACTTACAATGCTTAGTTGTCTTGTCTATACTTAAAGCCTTAAGATTAGTGAATAAAGAATATGAATTTTTATGTTAAATATGTAATGTAAATTTAGAGCACGTTAATACTTGCAAGTTACAAGTTACGCATTCAAATATTCAATAATTCAAACATGAATGATGTATAAATTACCAATATCTAAATTGTAATTACTAATTATGTTTATTGTTTAATATTTAGTATTATACATATATGTATTAATTATTATCTAATTCTAATCATGTTACTCATGTATAAACTTGGTAAACTTGGTTTAAAACAAGCAAGTTCTCTCTATCTTGGTTCTAAAATGGTAAACTGGGTTTAAAACAAATAAGTTCTCTCTATGTACAATCCTTAGAACACCTAATATAACTGTACAACATTTTTTCTTAATTGAATTCAGAAAGCTGAATTTGGCTTTTTAAGGCATTTTTACAAATAAGTTTTGGGCAATAATTAGAAGAGAACAAACAGAGCAGAAATTAGCAACCAAGAGATGACTATCCCAGCTGTATTTGATTGAATTCAAATTTTCATCCATTCACAATATCCATCATTTTCCATTCCATTTCAATCTGTTTGGAACCTAAATGATTTTGCATTGATTTGATAATTTAAGTATTTCTTGTCATTTATATCTTGTGAGTAGTTTTGCAGAAGCTGGTTTTCATGGACACATATTCGACAAAGAGTAAGCAGTTTAAACTGGAGTAATCTTGATTTTCATGATTGCTTAATATAAGCCTTAAAGCACTGAACATCATCAATGATATAAAAGTGGTCGGAATCTTTTCAGAAAAAGGGTAACTTGGTTGACATTGTGTTCCGAAGTCACAACCAATGTTTCAACAACACAAAGATTAAGAGCAACCAACAAATAATCTACCATTTTAGTTCTGGCGTTGGATTTGCTATTCTTTTCATTTTTTTTCCTCCATTTCTTCTTTTTTGTTAAGTGGATGATTATGAAGATTGTGAAGGGATTTTGTATAGGAAGAGATGTTGATTAATGATTCTACGGAATGAAATGTCTGAAATGAAAGAATAGCAGCAATTGTGCAGGAGAAGGTGAAAGAAGGAATGCGTGAATATTCACAATTATATGGAGAATTTAGCAATCAGCTTTCAAGCATTTACTCATATATCATCCAGAGCTTTGTTCCAAATCTTTAGGCTGTAGCACCTCTTTTGATAGCTGATGTGATGAGCACGCGTTGCTGTCAAATTAGCAGTCGCTGCTGTTAGTTCAATATTGGCATTACATTGAAATGTAAATCACTTGCTTCTTCAAATGTAAATCACTTGCTTCTTCAAATGAGATATCTTTCTTTTCACTTACTTATTCTTCATTGTGCAGTCAATAATGTGTCAGGAGGCATTCAGATTGCTTATTCTTTGCTTTGTGTTCCTTTCTTCAGATCCACAAAACTCACACCTTTGCCAGAAACTCTTGTAGATGGGAAGCGCCAAATTTTTTATCAGGTCAGAATTTCTCATTTTACTTGTGTTTAACTAACTGTTAAAATTATTTGTGCTTGCAATTATCAGATGGAGAAGAACAGAGGGTTAACTCGTGCTCGGAAGAAGCTAACCAAAAATCCAAGAAAGAAGCACAAGGTATCTGGCAATGACTGCTGATCTTTTTTCTTTAAACAAATTAAACTCCCAACTACATAGCTGGTGTATCTCTCTTTCTCACAGTTGAAGCACCAAAAAGCAGTGGTGCGTCGGAAGGGACAAGTGCGAGATATCAGGAAGCCAACTGGTACTTATGGTGGGTATTAATGCAGCAATCAGCCGCAGCATTAGGTTTAAGAGCTAGTCATTGCGGTGCTGCATTTGTATTTTTGGAAATAGGATGTTGTTTTATATACATGTTTTTGCAGTAATTATCATGTTGAAGAGGGAATTTTAGGTTGAGGGAAGTTCATGTCCGCTGTCTATTTTTAGTAGACGTACAATTTTTGTGATAGTGACGAAAAAGTTTTGGAGTTTTCAATCAGATCTTACCTTCATGCATTCATGGTCCAATAAGTAGTACATATAAGCTCTTACTTCCTTGGTGCTCAACATTCTAGTAAACCTGGTAGTAGTTTCATTTTATCATATTTGATGATACTACTAGATGTGTGTGGCTTACTGTATCTTTTAGCTCCATCTGCCAATCATTATCTGTGTAATTACCTGTTTAAGAAATAAAAGTACCTTTTTGGTGACCTGTTATCAGATTCATTTACACTTACATCAGAAAAAGTGAGAAGGAACCCTTCGATTACTTATGTGTTTGTGTGTGTGCTGGAGTTTTTGTTTATTTCAGTTGATATTATTGTTGAAAGCAGGAAATGTGGTGGTGCCTTTGTTTTCACCATGGGATTGTAGATGTTTTCACATCAGCACTGTTTCTGCTCCAATATTCCGGGTCTGGTAACGTGTTAAAATGAATCAATGCATAAGTACAGCTAGTTTTGGAGTTTAGGGGGGAGAGAGGAAAAATTAGTTTTAGACAAAAAAATGATAGGAGATGAGAAGCAAGAGATTAGAGAGCTTTTAAATCTTGTTTTAGAGTTCAAGGGATGAAAGAAATGGTTTGGTAAATTTAATGCTATCCTATTTTATATATTTTTGAGGCTAAAAGTTGCATTTTGATAACTCAAATCCATTTCTCACCAATTTGGACACTTTCTTAACTGTGGCTCCAAAAGTCATCCGCTCATTTCTGTCCATTTTTATCCTCATAAAAACTCAAAATGGAAACTTGACATTTCTTCTCATGTCTCCTCTCTGTCGATGCTTATATTGTGCAGACAAAGTGGTTTGTCTACTAACAGAGACAGTAACTCACATCCAACTCGTTGACCAACCAAACAATGAGAGCCATTGAATTGTGTGTATCTTAAAGTTTGGTATAGCTGACATGGAAAAGTTTAGTTCTGATTAAAATATAAAGCTTGCAAATAGCTAGCAAGGTTTTGATTGTAGTAAATGATAGATTAAGATACAGAAACCTATCAGCTTGCAGGCGAACACATCATCAAGAGTACTAGTCTCCAAAAACAATGTTGGTAGATGTTCTGTGTTCACATTTCTAATCGTACATTTCTTTCCTCTAATATAATAAATTTTGCAAATTCTTTGGAACCAGATTTTCCAAAACTCAAATACATTGTGCAATGTTCCAATACTCAATTCACTTTCACGTATAGCAACAAGGGTCTGTCAAGCAAAATGCCAAAAGATTGTATAGCATCATGAGACTGAATGTACAGACTGAAGATAGCATATTATAGAATACACAGAATTGACTAAATCATTAACACACTCAGTGTACTTCAGTTTTCTTAGATTTTAAGCAGATTGTGACAACTTAGCATCCAATTAGAATATGATCAAAGTAGAAAATCTCATAGCTCTTGCATCACTCGCTGTTGGGGCAGCTCCCCTTGTGACATCATCTTCCCTATAAATCAAAAGATACGCATCCTATATCCACTCAAGCCTTCTGGTGGATTGGTGGAAGGATTACCACTCAAGCTTTTTGCATTTGCCAACTTAGAACCCTTCAACAGACGAAAGCTTCTCAATTCGACTAGGTTATGTTTCTTTAAAAGGGCTGACAAGCCTCATTTGCAGCAGTTGTCATCTAAATGGAAACAAATTTGGTATCTGTTAGGTTAAGTGCAATAGTAAATACACTCCAGAAAAGTGGAAATAATAGACCTAGGAAGTAGATGCATGATTATGGGAGCAAGAACATACCACAACTTAAAAATCCGACCAGTGGCTTTCCCATGTATTGCTCATCCATAGCTCTGTTATTTAACCTTGAAAACCATGGGTGGAAGATTCAAAATTTCAGACAAGTTTAAAATAAATGGCAATTTAAGAAGATCTTACTAATTCTGTTTATGAAAATTCACGAAGCCATAAAGAAATCAGCAGTATTGACAAAAGTCAAACAAATTTTCTAAAACCAGAGAATTTTCATCACAAAGGGAAGTGTGTACCTCATGCATGAGAATCCCTGCAGCTAGCCAGAATGATCTGTCGTTGTCAGCCTCATATATTCTTCCACAATTTATCAATCTGAGAGTAGACTCTCAAGCTAGACTCAAAACCGCCTACAACCACGGGAAGAAATGGCATCAGATCAGAAGCTATATAGTAAGCATACACCACTGTAGAAAGCATTACACTCATGCTGAATTGTAATTTAACGTTCTCTATATGGAATTAAAGTGCAAGAATCTTCCTCTTGGGAGAGAGCCCAGATAAATCCCTCCAGCAAAGCAAGCTTTCTGCTTACTTTTTCTAGTGCAACTGTGAAGGAGGTTTTGAACTAGGCTAGCTAAGACCTCAATCTTGGGAGGTCTTGAACTAGGCCAGATATAGAAGAGGTTCCTCAATATGTGCAATGACTCTGCTGTTCACAGAGTGTTCTTTGAGCCAAAAAGTAGCTACCATCAGGCACCAACAAAGTTAGAAAAATTAGTAACATTCAATTCTTAGAAGATTACAACATAAATGAGCGCTTACTTTTTAAAGGAATGAAGTGTTGATTTAGATCTTGAGTAGTTAATACCAACATCAATATAAGAGGATAAGTAGCTGGCTAAATTATTCTAATTCATTAAACTTGACTTTTGTTCCTTGGAACCCAGCATCTCAATGTTTTGGTTGCGCCAAATTTGTTATGAATAGATTAACATCAGGTTACTAAGGTCAGAAACCCTTTTGCACCCACAATATAGCCAAATTCAAACTTCATCTAAGTGATCAAGCTATTTAAACAACGTATCAGGACTCTAGATTTTGTTCAAGACAACCTGTTTCAATAGAAATAGTCCTCTTAGATTTGAGAAACAAAATCAAAAGTCCACAAAAACATAAATATCAAGAAACAGGTAAAAAAAAAATGATAAGGCTGATACAGGATTGCACCAGCATTTATGGTACCAAACCCTTCCCAAAATTTCTAAGCAATTTCAATTTCGAAAACCAGAGAGTTCATTTTGTAAGAATTCATTAGATAACAGAAAAAACTGAATTTGCAAGATACCTCAAAAAATAAAGTCAATAAATTTACTTGATATTTAAGTCATGCCTTAAAGCAGTTTCTTGATATTTCTTCCCAATGGGTTTCTGCAGCATTTGATGCTACAGCAGAAATGGCATCGAAATAAAGCCACACTACTTCCACGAATTAACAGGTTAACTTCCCTGAGATCCTGAAAGGGAGCTGGAAGAGATGATTTACCAGAACCATATAAAGCCCAAACCAGTGTTATCCTTATCACTTGAAATATTGACCTTTTTCAAGTTCATAACTTTAAAGGCTAACAATCTCCCAGTACTATTACAATTTGTTCGATGAAAGTAACACATAGGATCATGTTGAAAATCATGCTAAGTTTAGAATCTCCATGGAAGCATAGGGAATTCAGTTTACTTCATGAAATGCATTCTTTAAAAAAAAAAAAACAGTTTGAGGAAAAAGCTCTTACTTTCAGCTATAAGTGAAAATCCTGAGCTGAATGGAAAACACTGGTAGAAAATGTCACTTTTTCATTATGTTACAAATCTTTTACTAGAAAGATACCCAAAAGAATGTATGCTTACATGAGTCGCCAAGCTTGTCCACAGTCATTCTCACGTAAAACATTCTTAAAACTTCAAAGTAATAGTGGTGTTAGTTGGCTACTTCAATTGTCAATCCTTACAATCTCACATGCACATTACTCATGTCGAAATTTCAAACTAGAAATATGCAAGGATGAATAAGCAAATGCCAAAATAAAAGAGTAACCATGAAGATTGACTCTAAGGAGTTAATGGCAGGCTGAAGTAGCTTCTGTGGTTAAATATTTTTGACATAGAGGATCACTCATACAAAATTTACCATTTATAGAATTTCAAAAGACGCCAACGCAATCTAGGAATTTGTTTGAGCTAAAAGCAAGACTTAAACTAGTCTGAAACCTTCACCACTGCATATAGACCAAGTTTGAATTAACAATTCACTGAAATAATCGACGATGCAAATGTAAAAAAAAATGGAGATAAAGGATTGATATGGCATACTAAATGCATAAGCAAAGTAGAAAGAAAAATAAGATGATCAAATTTGATCAAACATACTTTGGTGGATGCTGAAAAGTTAGCATTATTCATAGCAATGAATTTGCAAACTTTATGTTGCACACTATAAACTGCAAAATTTCGAAATTATTAGCTGTAAGAATGACCTGTAGTTACTATTTTCAAACATAAGCTATGATAGCTGAGAAAGGTTTTGGATAACCATAGCTAATACAACAATTATGTTTTCCGACCATATTGCAATAAATTTCAAAAATGGTCTCACAAAATTTCTCTCGTTAACAAAGTTCCAAATAATGTTAATCCTTTTAACATGTTGAAAGATACAAATATTGGAGGAAGTAAAAAATGGTAGTAGATCACAAAGGAATATCTGGAAAGTGCTAATTCCGGGAAAAAAGATCACACAAACATAAATGGAAACATTACCTAGAAAGCAGAAACGCACAGGATGAAGGAAAAATAGTTCGCATCAATGACTGAGCAGAAGTTAGGCTGCACAAATGAGATTTGATTAACAAATATTATCAATACATTTCCGCTGTAAATACAAAGAAAAGATTTTAAGGGAAAAGAAATATAGATAGATAGAAGAAGCAAAATTAATTGAAAAAACTGTGAAGTAGTAAGACAGAGGAATACCTAGTAGCTTTAATTGGGAAAACTGACGTTATTTATGAGCTTCAAATGGGGATTAGCCTCTGATTTGCTGCTAAACAATTACAGTATCCGGATTTGGGGAATGCCGGAGATCTTCGACCACTCAGAATTGGGGTCGGTGGTGCTGCTACTGCTGCTCTCTGGTTTACATCTTTCCTTTAGAAGGGGGCACCCGTGACTCTGCAGGCTTCTTAGTCTGGTGAGGCTTCTCATAGATTGGGGTAAATTCTCTAGCTTTTCACAATCCCAGAGCCTAAGTTGTTCAAGTGACGAAAGCTTCCCAAAACAATCGGGCAATGATTTCACTCCAAAACCATCTAAACAAAGAGTTGTTAGGGCAGAGAGGCGCTGAAGTTGCTCGGCAGAGATTCCCAATGAGACCATCCACGCAGAAATAATTCTGAAAGGGAGGGGAAGTAGGGGTGCGGTGGTGGGAGAGCATCAAAGAGGTATAGGAAGGAATGCAACTCTGTGGTTTCTGAGAATGGTCCAATCGATAAGGTTCTCAAGCTTGTAAGAGAACAAAGCTTCCCCTTGGGCAAGTCCGTTATTTTGGGACAACATGCTATGTCTAGGTAAGAGAGAGAAGGTGTTCGGGTTAAATCAATTGGAAAGGAGATCAGATCGGGGCAGCTGTGTACTGTCAATTCCTCGAGAGGTAGAGGAGGAGGAGGAGAAGCACCGGAGAGGGAGGGCGGAGAAGTGGAATCCCACTCTGACTCAGATAGCTGGGGATGGACAAGTGGGTCAACCCATCGCACTCGGAAATTTCTAATTCGCGCAAGGCAGTGAGGTACTTGTCTCCCTTGGGGATTGAAATCGACTTGAGTGAATCGCAATCGGAAATTTCTAATTTCTCAAGGGACTCAAGACCAACCAAACGTTGAGTAGCACTATTGTCAATACAAGTGTGTGGTTGGCTCAACTCAAGCACTGTTTGGGAATTTGGACCTTCTAAAGTTTGAGGAACATCAGACGGAAAATCCAAGAATTGGGTCAAATCATGACAACATCTTAACTGGAGATGTGCAAGATTTGGATTGTTTTGAAATAACATATTTGGTAGCTCAGTGAACCCATTCACAGACGAAAGGCAAAGACTAGTGAGAGTGCTAACTCCGCTGCTGCGAATATATTCCATTACTGCTGACCCATTCTTAATCCAATCGATGTGCAATTTCTTGAGACTTGGAAAATGACTTGGAAAAGTTGCTAGTTCGGGGCAATCTTCAATCTCTATCGTCTCAAGGACAGGAAATACCATCAATTCTCTATCATGAACTTCTGCTTCCGTCCATTCAGTCAAATTGTGCATGTCCCTTAGAATGAAATGTTCAAGTGCTGGAAACAATTTTAGAGGACTTTGACTGCCGCTTCCACTATGTATGGTCGATTCTCCATAAAAAGAAGGTCCTATGCTTGTTATGCCATCAAGACTTTCCAAGTGAAGAGATCTGAGGGAGGACATGTGCCCAAGAGTTGGTAACTCTTTGCAGTTTGTGCAATTTCGCACTTCAAAGTGCCTCAAATTCACCAAATTCGTGAAATTTTCTGGAAACTTTGTCAATGAATCACAATCTTCAACTCTTAATGTCTGCAAAATGATAAAGTCGACAAAGAGAGTCTGGCATTATTTCGATTGAAGGTCTGGATAAATCAAGGTACCGCAAATGAGTTAGCTTCCCAATTGATTTAGGAAGCTCCTCGACACTTGATGGCCTTAAACTCAAAACTCGCAACATAAAAAATGATATCTCTCTATCATTAAGTGATTTGTCTTCTAACAAAAATAATGTTGTAATACACTTGAACCTTTCAGGGGATGGAAATGGCATTTCTTCTCCACTTCTCTCCAGTGCAAGATACTGAATGGGAAACGTCCTCTGGTCATCACTTCCAGACTCTGTCAACCTCAAAGTTTTAGAACTGGGAATGGATTGCACCATATCATGCACAAGATCATGCATTTTGCAATTCACAACATTCCCATACCTATCCTCCTTTGCATCTTGAAACAAGTTACTATCCAACAAAATGGTAAAGTACATGTTACCAACTTCCTCCATACACATATTATTGTTTCTTGGATTTGAATAAAGAAATCCTTCTGCTGCCCAAAGTTGGATCAGTTGATTCCTTTCCATTTCAAAATCCTTGGGAAAAATTGAACAATATGCAAGACATTTTTTAAGAGATGGATATGGAAGATTATCAAAGCTCAACTTCAAAATTTCATGAATGCCATTATTTTCACCTCTTTGAAGCCCACTCTCTAAAGTTTCCCATTCAGCCGTTCCCTTGTTACGCAACATGCCCCGAGAACGCTTGCAGCTAATGGTAAGCCTTGGCATTTTTCTGCAATCTTCAAACCTATATCTTCTTGCCGTCTATTTGGCACTTTCCCAGCGCCAAATGCATTTTCTTTGAGAATGAGCCAGCATTGATCATGTGATAATTCTTTCAAGGAATAATCTTGAGGAGAAGAAATTCTCGTGATGGTTGCCACTTCTTTTTCACGAGTGGTCACAAGAATCCAGCTCCCCATGGCTTGGCTAGTACCCCTCAAAGACCCAAGAAACTCATTCCATAGTCTGGACTCCTTATTCCAAACATCGTCCAAGACCAGTAGATACCTTTTACCGTCCAATAATTCCTTGAGCCGATTGACTTTGGCGTCCTTACCCTCAACTCCGGTCATTGTGCTTTCAATGATTCTAGCATCAGCCTAAAAAGCCTATTGTCATTGAAATCATCCGACACGCATACCCACATGCTCTCCTCAAAATGTTCCTCAATCTTTGGATCATTATAAACATTTCGAGCCAAGGTGGTCTTGCCGATCCCGCCCATCCCTACTATAGGAAGAACGGAGATAGTTTCATCATGATTATTTGGGGCCGTCAACATTTTTACTATTTCTGAGACATCATTATCTCTTCCAACGAAACACACATCAACAGTAGCAGCGGCAGTCTCCCTATTCTTTGGAAGAACACGAGGCGCATCTCTAGCTCCAATCTGTGGCTGGAGGCCAAAGCCCAATGCTTCTTGATTGATTCTTTCCAAATCCATATTGATTTTCTGAATTTTGTTGGCCATTTTGCAACGAAATGCAATGGGATTGGAAAGTGAGAAGAAGAAGCATACCTTCCTCTTCATTTGGTTTTGAATCTCAACTTTGCGCCGGATCATCTCATAGTTGATGTCATCCAACAGATTACCAGCATCGAAAGCCACACGTTCAAGCTTCTCCAGCCAACGCTTCACGAATTGTTGAGTCACCTGTCTTTCCTCTGCATCATGAAGGAGAGCCTGGATCAGAGTCAACGTATCCCTCAGTTTCTCCAAGTCTTTCTTGAATGCAACAAACCGGCCAATTTGTTCAGAAGCCAAATTTATTGCCTTCTCCACTAGAACTTCTACAACGGGACCAAGTAGTGCATCCGCCATCAGGTCAGGTCGATATCTGGGAGAAAGAGAGCAGTTGATAGTTTTGAGAGTGTGGAATGGAACCGGGCAATTTGCAAGTTTGAAGGTGAGAACGAGTTGAATGTAGCAGTCGGTGAAACCAAAAGTCTACGAGTAGTTTGCTGCAATAGAAGGAAAACGAAAAGGACGAAAAGGTTCCCGACAAACATATGACGTGATAGACACGACAGGAAAGGAAATGAATTCTTTACTTTAACAAAAAGTTGCCAAGATCTACTTTACTTTCTAAACCAATACTCTTCTAGTTGTTTGGCAATTGTGCACAAAATCAACAAGAAAATGTCCCTTCATTTTCAAGAATCTCAAAATCATCTTACTTTATCTTGAGTAGAAAATCAGATGCCAAATATTCGGGCAAAGTAGGATGATGGTTTCTTAAGCAAAAGCTAAATGTCTACGGGATAATTTTCAATGTTCCTGAATGTCTACAAAAAATCAAGATGGAATTCAATTCCACCGAGAAAAGGGAAAAAGAAAACTAAGGGAAGTTGGAATTCAATTTCTCACCATCTAAACCTCAATTTCAGAGGCTGTGCTCGGTGCTCAAAAGTTTGAAGCAATTAATAATGAACTTACAAGAATTTTCATAGTCATCCATGATAGACGCTTTTGTTAAATACATTTTACCTTCTTTTTTTTTCTAGTTTTTTTAGGCTATTTTTTTACTTTTGTTTGTTCGGATAATAATTTATTTGGATGATTTGTTTGGTTTAGTTACTGTAACATTTTGTGTGATGTGATGTGATGTGATATATGTGAGATAAAAAGGTGATTTGAGAAGATAAAAGGTGATCGAGATTTGTAAGGGTAAATTTTGCAAGATCAAAAATTAGGATTTGATCAAGAAAAAATGAAGCAGAAAACGAAGTGTAAAATGCTTGACCAAAGTGCATCCTTTATTCCTTTTCCTTTATCAATCTATCCATTTATTTTTCATTTTTGTGGTGGCCAGTTCATTATATTATCTCAGATTGACCGAGTCTATGCCCAAAAGTCTAAAACAATAATTCACGTACTGGGCCATTTCAATAATGCAGCCCTGGGGGGGATTGAAAAGCAACACAATAATGATATACTCCTTTGATTCTTACGCCAATGCTTTCTTACTCGTTAAAATTGGTGGTGCAGAAAATATCCCACAAGAATATAACAAAGAAGAAGAAATATGAGAGAACTCTTGAGACGTGATGATATTATTACATGTAAATGATTTTTTTTTGCAAATAATCTCTATCCAAAATCACAAGTTCTCCATCCCCTTGTTAAATGATCCATGTGTTTTTCTATCTTGTGCTTGCATTGGATTCCCATTATTATCTCAGATTGACTGATGCTCAGAAGTCTGAACCAATAATGAAGTCACGGCCATTTCAATAATTCAGTCTGGGTGGATTGAAAAGGAACTTACAACCATTTCCACGGTCATCCATGGCAGCAGACGCGTCTCTTGTGTTTTTAGGCTATTTTACTTCTAACCCAAGCTGCATTTATTGGGCATTGAATAAAATTTCACTCATTGGTGTTTGGTAACTTTTTTTTTTTTGGCTCTCTTTTACGGCAATAAGAAGGTATAATGTGACAAATTTTGTACCACTCGATTTATCATTTATGAGTGGAGTCATAAATCGGCTAATTGATTGAAATATAGATACTTGCCAAAAAGTTCCGTCAAATGTGATCCATCAGCTCCGTGGTATCATTCTATGCCCGTCGCTCCTACACGGCGCGACGGGCAGCAAATTTTTTTTTTTTTTAAAGTTGTTCTGGCCGTCGCGCCATGTTGGAGCGACGGTCAGAGCTGTCAGAAATTTCTGACCGTCGCTCCTATATGGCGCGACGGTCAGGAATCTAAGGGTAAAGGCATGAAAACTGCGAGGCATTGATATTATTTTGTCTTTGACGATGTTTTATATCTCATCCATTTAATGCATTTCACATGACATTTAATTTAATTTTGTTGTCTACTTTTTCTGTTTAATCCAATCACTTTTAATTTGAATAACGTTAAACATTTTCAAAATAAAGAAGTACAAGTTATTTTATTAAACCCTATAATTGGATAGAAGGGTCCCTATACGATAATACCTACAAAACAAATAAATACTAGTCGTTTTACAGCTATTTTAATAGATTAAATTATTAAAACTAATTATCATATATCAAATAATGACACGCAAATAATTCTTCATTTCTACAAATATGTTATTAATCTTTTTATACGATTACATTTTATATGAAAATTCAAATATATAAATCGTAATTCATATTATAATTTTTCATTTTTTGACACAATTACGGTTCCTTTAACATTCTGTGTGCATGATACATAATAAAGTTAAAATTAACAAATCATAATAATATTAAGCAATACTTTCATCCATTACGCAATCACTTCAATTTAAATCATATTATCAAATTATTTTTTAAATTTAACAAATCATAACAGTTACGCATGTTATATAACTTAAACTTGATAAAATGGTAAACATTAATTCTTTAAGAATTCCCTAAATCCTTTAACAAATGGATCAAATTTTTTAAATCTAATCTCCTTTAAAATGCTAAAATTCTTGCGAGCCCAATGTTTGTTTTTAAAATTTTGTCAAACTGAATGTATTGTTTTTAAAACTTTTCATTTTAAATAATTTTTACAGAAAAATTTTTGCCGAATTCCCAATTGAATTGGACAAAGATTTTAAAAAAAAAACATTTCTAAATCGCCGGGCTGAAGGATTTTTTATTAAAACAAATTCTAAATTATTTGTAACCGTAAACCCTAACCCTAACCGTAAATGTAACCCTAAGAAAAAATTTTCTTTTTTACTGAGGAGGAGGATTTAAAAAAAAAAACAACAACATTTCTGACCGTGCCATGTTGGACCGACGGTCAGAAGATTTTAAAAAAAAAATAAATTCCTGACCGTCGCGCCATATAGGAGCGACGGTCAGAAATTTCTGACAGCTCTGACCATCGCTCCAACATGGCGCGACGGCCAGAACAACTTTAAAAAAAAAAAAAAAAAATTTGCTGCCCGTCGCGCCATATAGGCATAGAATGATACCACGGAGCTGATGGACCACATTTGACGGAACTTTTTGGCAAGTATCTATATTTCAATCAATTAGCCTCATAAATCTGATCTACCCAAACTTTTGCCTCTTTTCATGAGCAGACAGACTTGTACGAAACAAAAAACAACTAAGCAGTGTACGAAAAGTGTAAAAGACTTCGACTAAACAAGGGATGACTGAGTGAGTCTATGCTGGCAAGTCTGAAGCAATAATGAACTTACGGACGAAGGGCCGGAGCGGTTGTCTGTAACGGGCCATCATCAACGGACAAAACGAAGCCATGTCGCCAAATTATATCAGCTAAATAAGACGGCGTCGTTTTATTGAGTGTCAAATAAAAAAATAAAAATTTTGGAAACGGATGGAGCATCATTGTCAAATAGCATCAAATTTATCCCGCCTAAATTATTAATGAAAAGTTCCTTTTTATCAAAAATCCCCATTTCACTTTCCTCATTTCCAAAACCCTTTCCCCGTTGTCTGGTAATGCAAAAAATCACTCCACGAAAGAACTGCCATTTCACTCCACAGAATCACTCCACAAAATCACTCCCATTTCACACCCTGTTGTCTGCTAATTTCTAAAACAATTGCTTGAATTCCTCCTAAAAAAGACCCACAGTGTTTTTTGGAGGAGGAGAAACTGCATAATCTAAAGCAAGATAGGATCTTTTACACTCTCTGCTCCTATGTTGCCCTTGTAATGTTTATCCGCAACATTGATACTCTTCATTTTTTGACATTTTTTTAATTCATTGGGGTCAAAATTTTCTGGAATTTTCGAGTTAATTTCTTATTTTAGTGAGTCTTAAAGTTTCACATTAGTTTTCGTGGATGGATTGACGAAATTTTGGAGCTTTGTTTATTTCGAGCTGGGTAGCTCAGCTGGGCAGGACAAAATTGTTGAAATTATGCTTGTAAAAAAGTTATATTTTTTATTTGAAAACTTAGGTGACCCCAATGAGGAGGTTCGTAATATTGTTGAAATTAATGTGAAACTTGGGCTAGTAGCTCAAGTGGTACCAGAACTTCAACCCCAAGATCCTTATACAGAGGGACCAGGGTTCGAATCCTGGGGAGGCCCCCCTCCAAGCACCCGAAGCTGGGGCGGACAAAATACACAATTGGCCTCCACGGGGGAAGCTCTGCGCTTCTTCAAGGAGTGTACCTCATCTTTGTTGCAGCAGCAGAGCTCTAAGCCTCAAGAAGATAGATTCCACCCTCTTCTTTTTATACTGTACCATGAATCTTTTCCAATACTTAACTATAAACCCTCAAACTAGATTTGTCATTGCCTACAACATAAGAAAAGATGCCACTAGATCAAAAGTTGCCCACCAATTGAATATAGAAAAGGAGAAAGCATTATAGTCATTCTGAATTGTAACTAAACCTTCTCCATATACAGAACGAGAAAGAATCTTCCTTTTGGAGAGCTTTGATGGATCTATTTGAAGTTAGAATGCCACTGCCAAGGAAATAGCCCCTCAAAGATGATAAGACAACCTGTTTCAACAGGAATAGTCCTTACATTCTTGAAATATCAAATCAGAGTCCATAACCTAATTCTCCAGTTCATTATTTTTTTAATTTCATAGTTTTTTAACTAGCTCGGACTGATGTCTGGCCAGTTCTCGGTTCGATCAGTTTGATCGACTGGTCTGATTCGAATCTGAAAGCACTGCTTCCATATTGTAGTTTAAGAAGACAAACCAAGAAACAAAAAAAAAAAGGAAAAAAAAAGGAAGCCAACCTGTGGTTGTTCAAGCTAATTTTAACTAGTGCTAGATTCTACAAACAAAATCGCCAACTAATCGCTCTTGGTTTGAGTAATGTAAAGCATGGAAAAATCAGATAGGTTAAAGTTATGAGTTTCTCACATCAGTGAA